ATATATATTGTAATTTTTTCTCAAAAAGGAGGATCAGGATGCCTGATTCATTCATGGCGTTTCTCTAAACAAAAAAAATAATAATAATAATAATAAACATGATCTTTTTATAAATTGACTTTTTTACAATAGTTTGAGCATAATTTGAGCTCGCGCGCGCGCACACTCTCTCTCTCTCTCTTGCCCCCACCCCCTGAATGAGAACAATAGAAGCCACAAGTTTAAGCTCAATCTTATACTCAATCTCCTATATATTACAGAAGCTTGAGGTCAAGCTTAGCTCGGTTTGTTGGCTTGACTTGAAAACTCGTTAAGCTCCTCAATTAACTTAAAGTATATTTAAAATTTAATTTTAATTAACATAAATAATACATTTTACATCTTTAAATTAATTCTATATTAAAAAATAAAATTTATAAAAAAATAAATTTTAATTTAAAATTAAGAAAAGCAACTCAACAATCAGATCAAACTCGAGCTTTCAAACGAGCTCAAGTAATCAAGTCGAACTCGAACCTATAAATTTTTTAATGCTCGAGCTTGAGCTCAATAAAAACTAAACAATGGTAACTCAATTAGATAAATATTAAACTTGACTCGACTCTACTTGCTTACACAACCCTATATAAGCTAAATTATTACGTGCTGTCCCCAGACTATTCGGAGGCCAACCAGGACGCGCAAAGTCGCCCCATACATAATGGTAAACAGCGACGATACATAATATATTAATGACGTAAAACATCTTAATTAACCTCCAGACAGAGTCCAGTAACCACACATAATAATTTCTCCCTATATAGATGTATGGATCAGAAATATAAATGCTATTTTGACCGAATTAAGAGCTTTAAATAGGCAACATTGATGATGGATGCTTCAGTAAGAACAACGCAAACCAATAGCATCTTCCTGTTGCCTTTTTTTCTTAAATTACATTAGAACCCAAAAAATTTCAGGAAATACCAATAATTTTGTATGCACCAACAGTGCCTGTGGCATGTGTTTGGGATAACTTTTGAGCTTTTTTTTTTTTTTTCAAACAACAAAAATAACTTCATGTGATTATTATTTTCTTTTTTACTTCTTCACTGTAAAAATCTACTTTCTATAATAAAGAGTAGCTAAATCATTTTTTTTTCGAGCAACTTCATAATGAAATTCATAAAAAACCTATAATTGTCTCAAACATATTCTTAATCATCAAAGCCTTCACATTTATAGGGCAGATTTACATAGGTCTCTTATTGTAAGTGCCTTTGAAATGTACACGTTATTAACAGATAAATCTCAGATTATTAAATAAATAAATTATGTGGTAAAAATGTAATTAGCTGACATTTGTATTTCTCTGTAAAGTCTATTTATAGACTGTCTTGTAACCGGGTAGAGCAACAAAATGAATATACTTTCTTTGCTTCATTTCCTGTAGCTGTTTCGTGCTTTTGCTTTGTCCGAAAGTTATTATCAAGAACCCAATTGGTTTCTACATGGTAACAGAGCAGGCGTTCAAGAACGGTATAGATGGCGACTGTATCCTCTTCTCAAACGGAGGAACAAGCTCAATCCGCTCCGCAAGACTCTCTGGTTCTCTCATCTACCCTCAAGTTTGTGGTTTCTAACCTAAAATCTATTGTGCAAATCCAGCTCTCAGCTGAAAATTATGTTGTTTGGCGATCTCAAATCGTTAAAGTTTTTCGTGCTAACGGGTTTGAATCATTTCTTGATTCAAAAAATCCTAAACCATCCCGTTTTCTTTCTCAATCCGATGGATCTTCATCTTCTTTATCCAATCCTCTATTTCTTCAATGGTTGCTCTCCGATCAAAACCTATCCGCTGCAATCTGCTCTACTATTTCCGCTCCCATCTTGCCGTATATTATTCATTTGGATTCTACGGCCTCTATCTGGGATACTCTTGAAACAAGATTTCAATCCACAAATCGTTCCAAAGTAATTCAACTAAAGAATGAATTACACAACATTTCTCTCAAGAACGCTTCTATGACTCAATATCTTGCCGATATCAAATCGTTAGTCGACAATATTGCATCTGCGAGCTCTACTGTGGACACTGAAGACATAATCTTGTACATACTTAACGGATTACCTTCTTCGTATCAGTCGTTTAAAACGGCTATACACACTATGCAAACTCCTATCAGCCTTGACAACTTATATGCTCTTTTTCTTAGTGAAGAAATCCATGTGGCTTCTGAGGTATCTCGCCAGCAATCTGCAACTGATTCAAGCACGGCTCTGTACTCTGTGCGTGGTCGTGGCTGTCGACTTCGCGGCAAAAGTGCAAATCAACAGACCAGTTCGCGTAACTCAAATCCCAACGCCTCTACGATTTGCCAAATTTGTTTAAAGAAGGGTCACAGTGCATCCTCATGCTGGCATAGACTTAATCAGAATTACAAACCTTCTTCGGTTAACAATAACAACACAGCTCTTGTCGCCGAAAATTCAAGAAACACGACAGAGTGGTTTCTTGATTCAGGGGCTTCTTCGCATCTCACAAACGCACTTGAAAACCTTTCTGTTTCAGCTCCATATCGGTGTTCAGACACCGTCACCATTGGTGATGGAAGCTCTGTAGGTATAGATCATTCCGGTACAGGTTTGCTATCTACACCCAATCGAAAGCTTTTACTAATTAAGTTATTTCATACTCCAAAGCTTCAATATAATTTACTGTCTATTTCTAAACTCACTAAGGACAACAATATTTCTATTGTGTTCGATCCTAATGGTTTCATTTGAAGGATTTGAAGACTCAAGAAGTTCTTCTTCAAGGGCCATGCCGTAATGGCTTATATCAAGTTCAGACTATGAAGCCATCGTCTAATCATCTTGCTTGCTCTACTGCCCGAACTTCTACCTTTTCCTGGCACCACCGCTTCGGGCATCCGAATAATACCACTTTACAGTTTCTTGCTTCTACTAATCCGCAATTACACATAGATTTTAATAATTCCTGTATGCAATGCAATATTTCCAAAGCTTATAAAATGTCTTTTGATACTTCTGTTAACCGTAAGAAATATGCTTTAGAACTTTTACATTCGGATATTTGGGGACCTGCCCCGTCTGTATCTGTACAAGGTTTTCAGTATTACGCTATTTTTGTTGATGATTGTACTAGATTTACGTGGCTATTTCCGTTAAAACATAAATCTGATGTTGCTCAAGTTTTCTTTACATTCAAACAATATATCGAAAAATATTTGTCTCGACCTATAAAATGCATTCGCACCGACGGCGGAGGTGAATATCTCAGCCACACGTTTACTGAATTTTTAAAGACTCATGGTATAGTGCATCAAATATCGTGCCCCTACACCCCGGAACAAAACGGAGTTGCGGAAAGGAAGCATCGTCATATAATTGAAACCACACGATCTCTTCTTCATACCGCACATATACCTTATACCTACTGGCCCGATGCCGTTCTCACCGCAGTTTACCTTATAAATCGTTTGCCTTCCCGCAACACCAAGAACTTGTCTCCGTTTGAATTATTGCATAATACTAAACCGAATTATACTCATCTTCGAACTTTTGGGTGTGCTTGCTACCCACTGTTACCTTTGCACACTCGTCATAAGTTGCAACCCAAATCCAAACAATGTGTGTTTATTGGTTATTCTGATATGCATAAGGGATATAAATGTTTGGATGTTTTAACTAACAAAATTTTTGTTTCACGGCATTTAACTTTCAATGAGCAAATTTTTCCTTTCTCTGTACAGCAGGCTAGCAATGTTACTACTCCAAAAGATTCTATGGCTCCTCCATTTATGCTGATACCTGAATCCATTTCACGGTCTCAGCAACATCCATCTCAATCTTACCTGGATAAGGATACGCAAACAGTCATACAAACAAATCAACGTGACTCTGTTCCTGTTCGTAGAGAAAATTGTGTTTCTTCAGATTTGCTGCCTCCACTGTGCTCGTCAGCTGCTCCCATTTCTCATCACATGATAACTAGGTGTAAGACGGGATCGCTAAAACCCGTTAATCGTTTAAACTTGATTCATCAACTTGAACCAACCAAAAATCATTTTACCCCCACTGCTTACACTGATGCTGTCAAATATCCGGAATGGCGCAAGGCCATGGCTGATGAAATTCTTGCGTTACATCAACAGGGTACTTGGAGTTTGGTTCCAAAGCCAAAATCACAAGTATTAGGCTGCAAGTGGACATACCGCCTTAAATTACACAGTGATGGTTCTATTGCCAAATACAAAGCGCGCTTGGTAGCGCTCGGAAATAATCAAGAATTTGGCCTTAATTATACAGAGACATTTAGTCCTGTAGCTAAATTACCAACAATTCATATTTTACTCACAATTGCTTTCTCTCGTGATATGCAGGTACACCAACTTGATGTCGCAAATGCTTTTCTTCACGGTACCCTTTCGAGACAGTTTTCATGCATCAACCAAAAGGGTTTGAAGATCCTAATCATCCAACTTATGTATGCCGATTGCACAAAGCCTTGTATGGTCTTAAACAAGCTCCGAGGCAGTGGTACAATACGTTCACAGCGTATCTCATCTCCCTCGGGTTTACCAACAGTGCATCCGATCCTTCACTCTTTTTTGTTTAACAAAAATAATATTCAGCTTTTCTTATTAATTTATGTAGATGATATTTTATTTACCGGTAATAATGTTTCTTACATTAACCAGATTCTTGAACAGCTTAGTAATAGGTTTGCTATGAAGAATCTTGGCCATGTACATAACTTTCTGGGTATTAAAATTGATCGAAATTCAGATAGCTTGTTTCTTTCACAAGCTCAATATGCCACAACATTGCTGGATACGGCGCAACTAACCCGATGTAATCCCATACATAATCCGACTTGTACAAAAGCTCCTGCAGATCCATCGCAGGAAACTATTCTCTCGGATCCCACAATGTATCGCCGGCTTGTTGGTTCTTTGCAATACCTTACTCTTACGCACCCGGATATGGCCTACAGTGTTAATCTACTATCTCAACATATGCATAATCCGTCTTTATATGACGCTTTTCTTCTCAAACGTCTTTTGCGTTATATAAAAGGTACTTTACATTTTGGTCTCCCAATCTCTAAATCTAACTTTACTCTTACTTCCTTTTTAGATGCGGATTGGGCCGGTGATCCTGAATCAAGAAAGTCTACATCAGGATTTTGTTTGTTTCTTGGAGATACACTAGTTTCGTGGACCGTCAAAAAGCAACAAACTGTAGCAAGATCTTCCACGGAGTCCGAGTATCGCGCCTTAGCAGCTCTTACAGCCGATGTTATTTGGATTCAGAAACTACTTACCGAACTCGGTGTCCCTCAATCTCAACCAACGAACATCTACTGTGACAACATGTCGGCCATTGCCTTAGCAAATAATCCCGTCTTCCATGCTCGTACGAAGCACATTGAGATAGATCAACGATTCACACGAGATCACATATAGAACAAAAACATTTGTATATCTCCTATTAGTACCACTGATCAGATCACCGATATCTTTACAAAATCTTTACCAATTCTGAGATTTAAAACTCTACGACTCAAACTAACGGTTACCGAAAACCCGTTAGTTTGTGGGGGGCTATTAACAGATAAATCTCAGATTATTAAATAAATAAATTCTGTGGTAAAAATATAATTAGCTGACATCTGTACTTCTCTGTAAAGTCTATTTATAGACTGTCTTGTAACCGGGTAGAGCAACAAAATGAATATACTTTCTTTGCTTCATTTCCTGTAGCTGTTTCGTGCTTTTGCTTTGTTCGAAAGTTATTATCAAGAAACCAATTGGTTTCTACACACGTTACGATTTCATTTGGGACATCTTTTGTACTTCTTTTTTAAAAAAAAATTAATAAAAAACTTCAAATTAAAAAAAAAATTTGTACAAAAAAACAAGAAAAAAGCCGACCTACACGAAGCCTTAGGCTCCATTTACAACAACTTTTTTTTACTAATTTCTAAAACAACTTTTTAATATAAATTCTATTTAAACTAATTTTTTTATAATATAAGAATGCTATAGAAAGTAATTAAAAATCTATCTCAAATGAAATGTAAATTGAAAAACTAATGATAACATTCTTTATTTTGAAAAGATAATAGCTATTTGCACAATTGTTTGTGAAATTGTTATTGTAAATATAGAATTTTCGAAAGTTAAGATCCCCTTGGAGCAATTTTTTCATTGCTGTGACACTTCAGTTTAGTTGATACATTTTTCTTTTTAAAAATTGTAATAAGATGTAATTTCTATAATAAAACATATTAGAATTCGATAGCTGGAAGAAAGATAATTTCAAAATAAATAAGAAAATTATAATACCCCCATAATCTTTTAAAAAAATTATCTTAATAAACAATCCACTGTTTTTACACAATTGCAACAGCTACACAAACCGTCAGTGTGGACATTAGACATTTTTTTTTTATTTCCCAAAAAATAAAAGGAAGCATCTTTTTTACGACAACTGTATTTTAACAAACCTGATTAAAAATTATTTCTCATTATAGTTAAAAATACAAAAATAATTGTAGGCAGCAGCAAAACATGATAACGGCAACAATCAAAATTGTGGGAAAAAATGTCAAGAAGCACGGTCCGAATTGCTACATATTTATTGAGTATTCGTAAATATTCAGAAAATATTCAATAAATACTAAATACGTAGTAAATCAAAAAATACTCAACAAATACTTACAAAATACTCAATGAATACTCATAAAATATTCAATAATATTCACAAGTCACAACTGAGTATTTACAAATATGCAACTCAATAAAGACACAGTAAATACGCAGCAAATTCGGACGGTTCTTCTGTCCGGACTCCGCACGTAATAATTCAACCGAACACAAATAATTGCTAAATTAGCTTTCTGAAGCATTTCAGCTTTAATTATAACTTCGGGCCTGTGATATCCAAATATCTAATAAGCAAGCTCATGACTGCACAATGGCCTTTCCATTCTTCCTTCAACTCGCTCACAAAATTCTGGTTTGATAACTACGCGCCCATTGCTCAGAAAGCTCTCCACAAGCAGGAGTAAATATTTGACCAATTGCTTCCAAGAATGTTATATTTTAAATAGTTCATTACTCGTCAACCTGTCCAGAACCAGTAGTAAAAATTTGGCCAATTGCTTCCAATGGAGATATATTCCAACTTTCAGAATGCTTAACAATCTGCAAAAAGATGAGCTTATTTCATTCAAATAAAATTGTAGGTAGCCATCCAACATACATTTTTGAAGAATATAAATGGTCTCACTTTGAACTCTTCATTCAAATCATAGGTTGTTGTCCCTAGAATTGAAATGAAAGGCCTCCATGGAAATTTCAAGTATGCCCTGCAAAGGAATTATGGAATCCATCATTAGATGGGGAAAGCTACATAAATCAATAACTAATTTTCGATAAAGAAGACATAATTCATAATTGTATTCAACAAATGGTATGGCCCTCTTAGGTCATCTCCAACAGAACGCCAAATATGTGTATGGCGTCGTTCGGTCTCTCCAGCCGAACGCTAAATCTTCCCTTAATTTGCTTGCGGGTGAAGAGTGTGACGCCAATATTGGCGTTGCACTGTTCACCTACGCGATTTTCTGTCTCAACCGGATTTGCTGAAGAAACGCGCAAAAGAGGAGAAAGACGGTTACCTTCGCAGAAGCGCTCAAAATGGAGTTCGATTGGAGATGAATCACGGTGTTTCACTGCATTTTGGAGTGAAAAATGGGATTTTCAGTTGGAGATGCCCTTAGGCTTCGTTTGGGATGACTTTCTTACTACTTTATTAAACAACTTTTTTGTTTGGGATGGCTTTCTTACTACCTTATAAAACAACTTTTTAGTACAAAAATTTTAATTTTTGTTTTAAAAAGCTGATTTAACAAGCATTTCAAAAGCCGTCCCAAATGAATCCTTATGTTTGGAATCCATGACAGCAGTCCTATACATTGAAACTTGCGGGAATTCAACCTCTTGACATCTCCTTCACGGAGAACAGTTAAACGTAGAAGAGAAGAGCATCTTTTTGATTTGTTTGTTAAACTGCTGGAGAAGTTACAGGCCTCTTTTCCAAAGAAGCAGTGCTGCAAGAATACGAAATTAATAACCCCTCATTAAAACAGCTTTCTATTTCATGATGTGGAATCTCCATCATCGACATTGCAGGGGTTCCTATTCTCGACCCTACCCTATATACAATATCTGTTTTCTCTGTATGTGTGGCAAATTTCTGTTGAAGGACTGTAGCATTCCTCTATTGCTTATCTGTTGCAGGGTGACTTTCGTCCTTGCTGTTGGATTTCCGCTTGTTTGGTGAGCCAATTGTTGCAGGTGATTTGTCTGGTTCCTGTAATGCTTATCCACGCAATTTTAGCTGATGGGTTTCCTGCAGCTTATGGTATACGGTTTCCCTCGGGATTTTGTTTTTGTTGTATGATACATTGATACTAAGATCATATCCACTTCCAGGAATAAATAGACTATGATATTAAGGATAAGATGTTTATAAATATATAATCATAGGCATATAACTTTCATTCTATAAATTTTAGATTTCAATTTGCAATATTATGAATGCAAATTATGATATGTGATTCCTTTGAGTATAAGTGTGATTCCATAGTTATAACATAACTTTTCTTCTTATCAACTTGAGACCTGAATTTTCTTTACTTTATGATTACTCAGGGAAAGCCAACACCTTACCCTTGGGCCACCTCAATGTATAAGAGAAATTGAGAGTAATTTTACTTGATGTAGATTACGCTTGATTTAAGTAAATTCCCCCTCAAGTTAAATCAATATTTATTTAGATCAAAGGTTGATACTTCTTATTAGCATAAACTTTCATAGTTTATTACACCTTTCACGCACAGGAGATTATGATGGATCATCTGATTTGATTGGGAGGGAATTAAGAAGTTTCCTCATCAAGAGGGAGCTATTTAATTAGGTTCTTAATCAAAGAAAATTAATTAGGAGATATTTCCTAACGAAATATAACATATTTAGGGGCTGATTTGGAGAGGCAATAATTAAAGAAATAGGGCAGATTTGGGAGGGAATTGGGGGAGAGCTATTTGGGTATTTGTTGTTTATTGTTTGCTTTAAGTAGGAGATTTTCCTAGGAATAGGGGTAGGTCTTGTTTGCTGAAATTATAGTGTTTTTCGGGTGCTTTGGGCTCTAGTGGGGACGAGATTTGAGAGAGCCGGATCTTCCTCTTCAATTGAAGATCCAACTATATCTTGTCTTTTCTTTCATAATAATCTTATAAAAAGTGTTCTTGAGTGTTATTCTTTTTTGTTTACTTGTTACCGATTTTTGTTTTGTAGAAATTGTAAATTCAATCAATGAATTTTACAAGTTCTGCATCCACTTCCTATCAGATTACTTGATTAAGGAGGTCGCTTAAGTTTGTCTTTTAGGCTCAGGTTTGATACTTATGTGTGAATTTAAATAAGTAGGGAACGTTGGAAATGGATGTAAATTTTATCAAAGATCTTATAGTTTTAAAATCTCGAATATACTAGGGGACTCAGGCTACCAACGTTAGAGAAATTTGAGCTATAACTTTCGAGAGGCAATTAGCAACCATGGGTTGCCTCATTTCAAATATCTTAAGCAAATCAAGGTGAAAGTATGTGTTGAAAACATGATTTGGAGGGTGATGCCAACTCATTCACTAATAGAAGGTTGGTCCTGCTAGTTTCACTGAATAAAAACGTGATCAATTAGAGATCAGAAGAATGGCACATCCATTAGCTGTCCATGATTTTGATTTGACATGAAGAACCATGTCCGAGAACCATGATGTTTGATTGATGAGCTTGAAATTTATTGATGGGCTTGTTAATATGAGAGGTAATCGAAATTTAATTTGGGTATGGCTTACATCCATTAGAAGACTCGAGAATTAAACATGATGTGATATGCTTATTTACTTTGTGTTGTTCCAAATTGATTGAAATAGGGCCTTGCAATCCCAAGCATGAGAAAAACCCAATAAGTAGTCTTATATCATTATCTTATATGTAATGTAGCCTGATGGTAATTCATACAATCCCTCCCTATGGGCAAAGCAACCTGATTGGTGAGTCTTCCAATCTAACCTTTTAAGGACAACAATTTGTATGGTTCGTCATACAACTTGACCCTATAGGAAAAGCAATACGTTTTATTAAATTTCTTTACGATTTTGATGTAGCCTACATTTTAACTTGCATATTAAGGTGATGACTCTCTAGAACCCTTAGATCAATTGGTAAAAAGATCAAACTATGGCCTTCTACTTGATCAACTAAATATATTGAATGTATTTGAGTTATGGCTTGGTCCTTGAACGAGCCCTTTGGTGATTTAATATCCTCAAAATTTATTAAGACCCTTCAGCAGAATTTAAGATCATTCAAAAGCCTTAAGTAAATCAGATAAAGTGCAATTACTTATTATGACTTGCGTTGATTTCCTATTAAAATCATGGTTTTTTTAACCATTGTACTCATTTAAATTTGCCTCACGAGGTTCCATTTTTCAGCATAAATATATTTTATTTCAGCATTCTATTAACTGTTTAACACAAATGTTCCCAATACATAATTGTTACCATGGTTTAAGAAGGCGTTTGAAGCATACGCCTTGGGGTGCAGCTTAGACGCCTCGAAGCTTAAGCCTCGGTGTTTTGACCAAGGTTTACGATTTTCTTCATTGAGGCGTAACACCTCGAGGAAGTATGAGGCGCTCGCTGCCTCAATCAATTTTTTATTTTTTATTTTTAGTTCAGAAGAGTCGAAAGTGCTTATTAGAGTTAGGGCTTCGTCGGTTCAAAACATTTGTTACAATCTTCGCACCCCATCTGCAGCTCGCAGCGAAGGAAATACTCTCTCAGCTACGTGTGCACTGCTTCGGCCTCGACTGCTTTGGCCTTGCTTTGTGCCAGGATGAGTTCTTCATTATAAGATAACAATCAATCTTCCCTTTCGAGCCCGTAAGACATATATTTCTTACACGAGGCATTTATGTTAAAGTTAGATCAGCTTAATTTATATTTGTTAAAGCTTTACAATTTCTATTGCTTTTTCTAGTTTAGGTCAAGCCGAAAGTAATCAATTGGTCACCACAGATAATTTTTTTTCATAATTTCTTAAGCACCAAGGTATAAATTTTATTTACTATAGCTTTCTTCTTTAGAAATACGCAATTTTTAGCTGTCAGTGCTCTTAAATTTCAATGACACATTTTTCCATGAATTTCACCATGAATAATGCTTTTTCATTTGAATCATTTTTGCTGCAACTTTCACTTTTTTAAAATTTATATGATTGAATTGCCTTCGTCTCAATATCTTTTTTAAAATTTATATGATTGAATCTTATGGAGTCATCATTTAGACAGGCTAAAATTGGGGGAAGAAAAGTGTAATTTTTGTAAGTATTTATTTTGAATCTTGTATTCCAATAATATTTATCTTCAAACAAATCATTATGTTCATAATTTAATTAATATTCTGTCATTTTATGAGTTATTTATAATTTTTTTAGTACTTTAATGTTTTTCGTTTTGAGGCTTACGCCTCACCTCGCTAAGCCAAAACGCCTCTATGCCCGATATCACCTTTTTTTAATCTTGATTGTTACAATAACAACAACGATATGAAGCATTTATACCACTACATAGGGTCAGCTATATGAATCTTTTTTTCTCCTTTGTGTGATGTTAAGAGTCGAATTTTCATTTAAATCTAATAATAAAAAAAATATTTCTAATATTTTCTAACCTAGACTTTTTTAGGTCTACCTTTATCTTTCTTAAAATAAACCAAATCCAACATATCTACTCCCCACTACATAGGGTCAACTATATGAATCTTTTTTCTCCTTTGTGTTGTTAAGAGTAGAATTTTCATTCAAATCTAATAAAAAAATTATTTCTAATATTTTTATAACCTAGTCTTTTTAGATCTACCTCTATCTTTCTTAACATAAACCAAATCCAATATATCTACTCCCCAAACCTTATCATCAAAAGGCCGACGTTTTATGAGACGAAACCATCTAAGGCAACTCTCTTTGATCTTATATGCCACCGAAGCTACTCCAACCTGACCCACATATACACTTTTCGCATTCTACCTCTAAGTGTAAATCCACGCATCCAATTGAGCATCTTCATCTCTACAACACCTATCTTAATTTTTATTCTTTTATTTTAAAAGCTAACATTCTGCATCATAAAGCATTACAAATCTCCCCACCACCTTATAACATTTTCTCTCAAGTTTGAGAGATACTTTTCTATCACACAATAGGCCTGATGCATTCCTCCATTTCTACCATCCAACTTGAATTCTATTAATAATATCCCCATCTATTTCACCATCGCTTCGAACAATAGGCTAAAGAACGTGCACTCTTTTTAAAAAACTTGGTCATCCAAAGACACAATTCCACTACTAAATCTATTTTAGCAAAATTACCCTCCATTTATTCAACTTTAGATCAACTCAAATAAAACCTTTAGACTTGAAGGTTGACCTCCATAATTCAAGTTTACCTTCTACTCCCTCTCTAGTTTTATCAACAAGAAGAATATCATTAGTAAAAAGCATGCAACATGATTCATCCTCTTGAACATCTATGACTAAAGAAAAAAGATATGGGCTTAAAGATAATCCTTGATGTAATCCAATTGAAATAGGAAAATACTCAATCAAACCACCTTATGTTTGAACAATAGTAACAACACCTACATACATATCCTTAATGACTTGAATATAAGCATTATTAACTCCCTCCTTTTTCTAGAACTCTCAAGAGCACTTCGCTTGGAACTTTATCACATGTTTCCTCTAAATCAATAAATGTCATAGGTAGATCCTCCTTACTCTCTCTACTTCTCCGCCAAACCTCTCAACAAATATATAACTTCCATAGTAGACCTATGCAACATGAATCCAAATTGATTTTAAGAAACATTACTATCACATCGTAACATATGCTCGAGTGCTCTCTCCCATAATTTTAGTGCATGACATATTAACTTTTTTCCTCTATAATTCGTTATATTAAAAAAAAAAAGGGACCAACACACTCCTTATTAATTTATCTAAATATATTTTTAGTCTTCAAAATAATATTGAAAAGTTTAGCAAGCCAAGAGATTTTTGATCTACTAAACATTTCCACACCTCTATTATAATATTATAAGGTCTTAATGTTTTTCAATACTTCATTTTTTTAAAACCTCTCCAACTTCAGTTTTACCAACACGACAATAAAAAAACCATTTTCATTTAGGGTATCATATTTTTACAATCTTCATAGAAAAGCTTATCGAAATATTTCATCCACCTATGCTAAAACCTCTTATAAGAAAAGTATTTTTATCTTCATCCTTAATACACTTCACTTGAAGTGGATCTTTATTTTTCCTATCTCTTTGCTCATCTAACTTATATATACATCTTTCACACTCTTTAGTATATAATCTATTATATAAATAATTAAAAGTTAAATTGTTTACAACATATATTACTTTCTTAGAATCCCAGCAAGCCTCTCTATATATTTCCAATTTTTCAAGTTTTCATCTAAACCAATTTTTATAATAAAGTTTCTTATTGTTTATATTTTCCTTGCACATTTTGATTCCATCACCAGCTATTTTTATAATTAAGAACTTTCTCCTTTGATTCTCCAAAAACATAATTTGCAACATTTTTAATTTCATGACTAGTTTTTCTCACATATCAATAATCTTCCTCATAAACAATACAAAATTTGAGATTTTGAATATTAATCTTAAAAATATTTTTATTAACATTCTTTAAGTGCCCCTATCTAATCCTAGGACAACAACAACAACTAAGTTTAAGATAAATTTCTATTTTTATTTTTCATTTTGTATATGTTTCTATATATGAAAAAAATATATTTGATATCATAAATATATGGTGCTTTTGTTTTTATTGAATACGTTAGAACTAGAATGAGGAAGAAGAACTTGTTCTTCTTGATCTTGGATGAGAGAGAGAGGAAGAGGGAGGAGAGGCACGGGGATTACAAAAAATCCAATTTCCTTTATTCAATGGACTTACAAGAGGTTTCTTTACAAGAGACATATAATGCCTATTTATAGGCATTTACACTAATTTGGTGTATATGCGGATCAACCTATCCTAAAACCGGACCAATACATAACAATCTCCACCTTAATTCGTTTTATCATCAAAGAACCACTTGTTCACCTACAGCGAACTAACTGGCTCCCTACACTAACTCCATGAGAAATTCTACTGAACTGAGCCTAGTCTCTCTTGCGAACTGCCTCCATTGTGCATTCTGATCTACGACACCAGCTTGCGCTCCAGCTATTCCACCCGTGATCCGCACACCTATGCCTTATGCATCGTCTACTTCTGCGTGCTTCTAGTCTGGCATTTGCTCCTGCACAGCACACCCACGCTACAACAGTATTTGACTCGACAGTCTTCCTTGGACACTCGTGATCGTTCCAACCTGTGACTTCGCACAAGTCACCTTTCCGATCCTGGGGTTTTTGACCTTGTTGCTTTATTACCTCCGCTGCTCCGACACACCAAATCTAATCGACACTGCTCGCCAATCTGCCCGCAATCTTGATCGGAAGCTCCACCTCAAAAGATCTAAATCGATCTTTAATTCTTGCCTTTCAACACACGACATTAACATCCTTCACACTAGGCCTCTTCAAAACTTGCCGCTTCAGTTCAACGTCGAATCCCAGACCGACCTACTTGACCCTGTGAAAACCCCGCACTCTCTAGTTGAACCCAATCCTTCTATCAATTCACAAGATTTCCCGCAGTCTTTACACAATAGCAATAGCAGCTGTATTTTCCTCCACTCTACTAGTCAGCTTACAGTCGCATAAACCAGCCACAAGATCCTATTTTGATCAAGAACAACACATAATCCCAGCAACTGCTCCCAAGTATATTACGGAAGAACCACAGGAACCCGATCACCTCCTCATAGTCGAACTCCAACTCATCTTTACCTTGTTGTTTTCTTCTTCAACAAAAACAATTGTTTTTCTAGAACCAAGAGCCATCATCTGCTGCACTGAGATCCAAAAAGTTTTTGTAACCTGCATGAACCGAGACTCCGAGAGCTACCTAGCTCTCGTAGTAGCCTCCTTCTCAGTCGAGTTCTTCACAACCTCATGCATTACTTCACGTGTAATCTCCCTTAAACAGAACTCTTGCTCTATACCTTCCAACCAAAAAAAAAAAAAAAACATAAACTAAAACCAGACCAATACATAACAATCTCCACCTTAGTTCGTTTTATCATCAAAGAACCACTTGTTCACCTACAGCGAACTAACTGGCTCCCTGCACTAACTCCATGAGCAATTCTACTGAACTGAGCCTAGTCTCTCTTGCGAACTGCCTCCATTGTGCATTCTGAAACAATCGCGTGGCTCCAACTTTCCGTCGACCGCGCCCAGCCGGCCTGTGCGCACGCGGTCCTCACTGCCTTGCCCAATGTGGATCCACCTGCCTCTCCACGTGCAAACAAACCTAACCAAACCTACATGCCAGTCTTCCTGACTCCCACGTGGCCCATCCTACTGTCCGTCTAGCACAAGAGCTCCAGCCCCGTGACCTAGGCACACTTCTTGTTTCTCGAGCCAAATCCTAGCTCACGTACGAGCCCTGCTTCGCCTGGCTTATGACCCGCAACTTCCTTCTTGTCTTCGCCTCCCTCTGCAAATCTAGACATAACCAACACCCGTTCTAATCTCACATCCGTGACTCTTCTGCAACACCTGGGCGATTGCCCACGCAAACTCCCTCGCGAGCTCGCTGTTGCAAGCTAGCAACCCGCGTGGTTTTTACCCGCGCTCAAGTTGCGATCTGCTCTGATACCACTTGTTAGAAAATAATGAGAAAGAAGAACATGCTCTTCTTGATCTTGGATGAGAGAGAGAGAGAGGGAGAGGGAGGAGAGGGAAGGAGAGGAAAGGAGATCCAATTTCCTTTATTCAATGGGCTTACAAGGGGTGTCTTTACAAGAAACATGCAATGCTTATTTATAGGCATTTACACTATTTTGGTGTATATGCGGATCAACCTACCCTAAACCAGACCAATACATAACAGAATATCATGTAAGTGAGACAATTTATGTCGCAATCGTGGCAGTAGTAGTGGCGGGCAATGGCAACTGGGTGGCAACAGCCAACATGGGCGGCTAGCCAAGGTGATTTTCATTTTGAAAATAATAAAAACACCTATAAAATTTCTAAAAAGTGTTTTAATTATTTTAAAAAATAGCTTGATCTAATAAAAATAAAATTAGCTAAAAAATAAAAACCAAATATGTTTTCTTTAAATAAAATATGATACCAAATAGGCCCTTGATGAAATATGATAGAATTAGAAACAAGGCTTAAGATTCTTAAAATGGATGTGGAGACCAGAATTTATACGAGGGGTATCAGAATGAAAGGGGTTAGAGTAAATGTAATATGATCAGAAATAACAAAAAAAACTTGTTTAACTCACGATTCACAGTTCATACCACCTGCAACGTTCAAAAACGAATAAAGGGCAAAATAATTCATACGGCCAACACCAAATAGTTGGGACAATGTCAATTAAAATGATGACCACTTCAGAACCCCTTCAGTTTTTTCTACAAGTTATGGCTTGTTAATGCTGATTGATAAGTTGGCAAATGATGGTAGAATACCAATTTGATCTACTAAACATCATAATATCTATGATGTTTCCCTGGAGGTGCAGATTAGTGATGGTAAACAATTTATTTATGCTATGAAATATTGAAATCATGACAGAATATGGAATTATATATATAATAGTGCACTCAACAAAATCGCTACTTCATATCACATGGTGACGTTAAAATGTAGACTTCTTGCTCTTTCATTCAGAAGTCCGCTATTCAAAACAAACAATATGGAAAATACCAGACAATTTCCTCCCCAATACTCCAATTCAGCAACAACATATAATGAAGCAGTAAGGATTTAATTTGACCTTAATTTCCATTTTGCAATAATGCAGTTCGTTCCATTGTTACAGCCCTACACAACCATAGAACAAAAGATTATGATGGTAGCACAAGAACAAAACATATCATGTAAAATATAAAGAATAAAATGAAGAACTTATAATTATGCTTACTCTATCTTAACACTAAGAATCAATTAATAGTTTGAAAGAGAATCATCAATCATCATCACCAATGTCATAACATCCTGGCAGAAGGCCCCAGATTATAAATCATATATGACCTAAAATCCACAGTTTTCGATATTGCATGTTTTTTGATATAGAATTAGTACCATCGATACAAAAAGCCTCTAATCTCCCATGCAATCCCAATAAAAGAAATCTCATTTTAAGTTGAGTTTTCTCATACTTATCAAACCATTTGGCAGCTGATGTCAGCATAGTATGCTGATGCAAAGCCAAACAAGCCATGTGAGAGTTCTAAGGCCAACCGTAGACTAACTAGAGTCTGCAAATCAGATCTGAAATTTCTCTAGCCTGAATTTGGAGTGACTTTCATCCTAAACTAAAGGAGGCAAAATGCTTGTTTCTCCTTAGATAACTACACCAACTAATCTAAGATGAGTAAATCTAAGTTAAAAGGAGTTACCAATTAGCAGCAGGTCAAATCAAGCCTTTAACAGATATTAAAGTGAAGGATCAGCAATGCCAATGAAACTGACAAAAACACAAAAATATAATAAAAATAATAATAATAATAAACATGTATTACCTGAACAGAAATTTGTGTGGTTCACTAAATTGCATAAAGTGTCATTTATATCATCAGGGATAATTGCTAAACGCTTGGTGATGGATGTTGTCACTTGTCAGGCTAATTTACAAGGATGGTTCCACTAATTCAGGGGCTATGAGGATATCAAACAAGTATTAACAAAATAGAATCCTCAAAGGATGAATTTTAGTTTTCTAAGATAAAATGCCAAATAGCTTGTATGCTTAGACTATGGTTGGATCAGCTAAATACCATTTTTGTATTCTCCTTCACCCTAATATTCTCGAATTCAAAATTAGCCTTTCTTGAATATGATATACCAACATTCTAACTGGGCTCTTTGGCCTGATAAACAAATTACAAATCCTTCAGCTATGCATTGACAGAGAAGTGGACGACTATTCACAGCTCCAACCAAAGTATTCCTATACACAATTACATGATGGAAACCTATGAATGGAAGTGAAATTCTCTAACGATATAAAGAAATTTTTACCAGCATACCACTCTAAACATGTATTTTACTGACATATCACCCAATCAGTCATAATTGGAGTCAGGTCTGGTCCCGTAGAATCCTGAATAACAAAACCTAAAACAAAAGTATAACCATAATGAGAGCTAGGCTTGGTTAAACTAAGCTTCTGGACCATAAAATCATTCCAAAACAATTATTGATTAGGTCAAGTCAATTGGGTGTCGAGTACCTACCTACTTAAGCCTATATTTAGATCTGACTAGAGCTAGTTAACTCGTCTAAGGTTAAATTATGATAAAGTGAGTTCATTGAGTGGCTCATTAGTAAGGGTGACATACCAATGATATCAATGATTTGTGTAGTATAACAGTAAAATCATATAATTCGAGTTAGATGCTAGAAAAAAATTCTGAAACTTAAAAAGTCCAAATAACTCTTGAAATAGCATGTGATTGTGAAAGCGAATCAAACGCTGACCTTAAAATTTAATGCACATTAGAATGACTTTCACTCATTCAATTTAATATTTTGTCATGAAGGAACGATTACCTTCTCAATTTTCTGCAAAACAAGCGAAGGGCAATCATAAAAAGGCACAAGCAATTCGAGATTCTGTGAATACTGATCCTTACCTGGAAACGAGAAAAAGAGCGTGTTAATCATTAAATCCTTTTAATTTCTGAAGGCAGGGCATATTCATCAATAATGCTTCAAGGTCAGCAACTAAAAGAAAAGTGTATTAGTCCCATTAGAGCACATGATAATTATCAAGTATCACTTGTAAGCTATATATATTTGATTAAAGTTATCCGAAAATGAGTTACTGTCTTCTTTGATTAATCAATGTTACAAATTCTATTTACCTAAATTCAAAATCATCAAAGGAAAACACTAATAGAGATTTTTACTGATTTTCAGCATTGCGCAAAACTGATAAGGGACACTCTAGAATTATTGATGTGGGACTTTTCAGGATCTAGGATTTCTAATGCAGCTAAATGATGTAACAGATAAAAATCATACAAAACATACTGTTATTTATAGTTTCAAATACCACAAATAAAAGCAAGAATTTATCCTCATTTGATGTTATATAAAAATATGAGAAATTCAAAAGAAATAACAATTTAAAGAATAATTAAACCAAGGAACATTGATAAATTGAACCCCAAAAAGAAAATCTACAAGTCAATAGGAATCCACAACAAAATTGCATGAAACAAATTATTCGTGTAACAAAGAGCAACTCCACGCCGCGAATCATACATAGCATTCAGTGACCAGAGAAAGACCTATACACGCCAAGTCAAAATTGTGGGCAATGGACATGGCTCTAAGTGCGGAACATAGGAGGACAAAACTGTGCACTCCATTTATTTTTTGTGGTACACAAATGTGTACTTGCTCTACACTCAAAAAAAATGTTAGTACATAGCTGGTGTGCTCCATTACTTCGCACGTAAACGCTACATCAGACATTCTGATGAGGACATCGGTACGAAGATTTGGCGCATCTATCACAGGCGGCGTCGTAAATCGACGGCCATTATTTAAATTTTCAATTATGAGTTATTTTTGCATTTTAATTCTTATTTGATGTATTTCCTGTTTTACCCCTAGGTTAGTTTATTTGAGTGTTGTGGCTCAAGGGGCAATTTTGTAATTTTTTATTTTTCTCATGTTGTGGCCTATATATATGGCCTTAAGCTATTGTAAAAGGGATGAAGAATTGATTTAAAAAATTTTGCGTCCACACTTTTGTTCTTTGTGAGAGAGCTTAGTGAGATTCCTATGGAGAGGAATCAGAGTCTTCACCAGCCGCAGGATGGGTCTGGGCTCGTGAATTGAAGTCCCTTGGAGAAGGGCAAAGCATCACCCGTCAGTCGTCGGAAGAGTCCGAGGCTCGCGGTTTTTGTTTTCTCTCTTTAGTTTTATCTTCTATCTTTGGTTTTTGTTTTCTTTATTCCGTCTTTATATTTTCGTCTTACCTCATCACCTTCCATCATTCGTCGTCACATCCAACTCCACCAAATTTCCCTCAACTTCCTCCATACACCAAGCTTTAACTAAAAATTCCCCATAGCCTCGGCCACCTCCATCCGTCCCCAATTGGCCGTCGGCCCCATTTCCCTTTGTCCCCTTTAATTTAATTCTTAATTTGGATTGGAATTAATTGGGATTAATTTGAAATTCAAATTCATCCAAATTTGAATTCAAATTATTTCCTAATTTAGTTAATCTATTTTAGGAAAGTATTTGATGTAGATCCACTTTTGAATTTAAATTCAAGAGGATTTAAATTGACTATTTCCTAAATCTATATTCTAAATTAGGAAGCCTTTAATTGCTCCCACCAATCAATTCCCCACCCATGCATGCCGCCGGCCATCATACCCTCTCCCAGTAATTCCCTCTCAAAATATTTCCTAACTCCAACACCTTAGGAAATATTTCAAAACTCCCAATTCCCCCATCTGGCCGAGTTTCCAATCACCTTATGCTTGCAATTCTTTCCTAAAATCTGATTGGAATTTGGGAAATAAATTCCCTCTCTTACATTAATGCTCCCTCTTCATGCCCGTAACTCCCTTCCAATCAACCTGCTTTGATTGGGAGCAATTAAGTTCAGTTTTCCTTCCCAACTCACAGTTTTCCCATTGGAATTAATTCCAGAATTTCCTCTCATGCTCAGCCGATCCCGGATTCAAGGAATTTGAATTCCTCATTGAAGTATAACTCCTCTACTATTTCTTCCTTCCCGTAACAGCTCTTTGGAAATTAATAAAAATAAATAAATAAAAAAGTGGCCAAATTCCCTGAAGCTTTAATTCCTAATTTATTTTCCTAAACCCATTAAGGGAATTAAGAATTAACTATACCTTAGCCCCTCAATCCCGTCAACCTACCCGCCCCTCTCCCTCTTTGTCAACTTTTCCCCTCTCAACTAGCTCTCTCTGCCAACGAAAAATCTGAAGCTTACTTCAGATTTTTCTCTTGTTTGTTGGCTCTCAACCATTCACCATCCCAAGAGAAATATTTTCTCTTCATTCATCTCAAGAGGTCTAAGCAAGACAAAGAAGAGGAAATCTGAATTCTCTCAGGTTTTGGGGGAACAAAACTGACATTGTTCTCAGATTTCGGAGAAGAAATCCTCTCCCTAGCAAAGCCGTTTTCCGTTCTACATCACATTCGCACCTGATAATTTCTCACAATTGGCAATTCGGTTGTAGACGATTTGACTAAAATTAAGACACCAACAAAGACCAAAAATGAATGATGTAGAACAAAATAGAACAATGAAGCGGATCACATTGAAAATCCATGTTGCATGACGCCACCAGATATGAGTTCACTGAAATTGGTAATTGCACTTGTACCGTAATCGACAGAATGAAAATCAAACTGAGCGCGCATAAAAATTTAAAAAGGAATTTAAAATTTTTCATCATATGGCTTGTATGACATTTATGATCATTTGATTTATATCCCAAGTTCGACAATTTTCAAGACTAATCATAGTTTAAAATAGCTAGGTAGTTCATGTGGATGAGGCATATATTCCACCACCTATTCAACAGTGAGTCCATAGAAAACAAAACTGCAAACATCAGAATAATAAAGAACACAACTCATTCTGATAGTTCAAATCATCACAAGCATGTTTAAACATTGAAACTAAAGTTAAAGTTATAACATAAAATAACTTACAATTAATGAAACTAAATTACATTTGCACATAATTTATTTACATGATTTAACAAATGATATTCTTCAAACATATCAAGACATAAATGTTATGCATTTTACAAAGTAATCCAAGAATCATCAAAAATAGGTTTCTGATATGTATGGACGGGTCCAACCGGCCCAACTTGTTATGTGTTTTACAAAGTAATCCAAGAATCATCAAAAATAGGTTTTTGATACGCATGGACTGGTCCAACTAACCCAACCGGCTCATATATTATAGCAGCTGTAAGCCTACTGAGCCGCAAGGTACAATTCCCACCCCCCTTGGGATGGGGTCCATTACCTAATGGAGTTTGTATGGGGGGTTGTTTAATCATTTTGCATTATTTTTGTTATTGGCTTTAAATAGAAGTTTGTATTAGGGTTAGGGCATCTTTTTGGTGACTGATTTCTGAATGCTTTTGGTGTTCTTGGGCTCTAGTGGTGTCTAGAGAGTTTTGGAGAGATTGACCATCCTCTCTAATCTAGGATTTCTTGTATCTTGGTATTCTTCTGTTCCTTTCATCAAATAATACAAAAATATCTGCTGTTTTTTTTTTTTTTTTTTACTTGGAATTTTGTGGAGATTTCTCGTTGATTTTCTAGGATTGATAAGTTTCGCTTAAAAACTACAAGCATTTCCTATCAATTTTTCATACCAATGCATGATATATCTCTAGAATCTAGTATTAGTAGTCGGCACAATTTCATCGTCAAATATAGATTTAGGAACAAGAAGTGTAAAGTGGTTTGGCATAGCCGCATAGCATTAGATGCAAGTTTATAAAGAGATAAAAGAGAGAAGAATCTAAGTAATTACATGTTTATGAAATAAAATTAAATCATATATAAGTATTAAGAGAGTAAAACAAAGAAAACAAATGTAGCTGAAGGCATGAACAAATAAAGTAATGGCAAGACCGATTAGCTTAGGCAAATTACATTTGGGAAGTGCAATATCACGAGTGGATTTTCAATGTTGTGATGGTCAAATAGGGTAACAATAAGTGGGGAATGCTTAATTAGCCTCACCAAAAAAATATTCATTAATAATCAAAGAGTTCATACAACCAGCTCTATTAATATAGAAACTAATCTCAAAGATAGATGAGAAAGTCATTAACTATATCACCTAACTATAGATGAGATTATCCGTTTTTCTAACTTTAAAAAATAAAATAACCATACGAATTTGGTAAAAAATAAAGATGGTTCTAAAAAGCCTTGAAAATTTATTTGATTCAGACCGATTGAAGCCTTGTTCACTCCTTGTACTTGCCTATGAAAAACTGAACTTCTGTGGGTTAGTCTAAAAAAATAATTAAACAATTTGTATTGTACCATCCCAAAGACAATTAGCCTCTATCAAGCATTAACACACAAATCAACTAAACAATTCAGTACCCTAAAGATTAATATCATCAACGCTTTTTAAGGCTACAACCAAGTATGAATGCCCCCAACCAATGAAGAGAAGACCAACTTTTTGACGCCTGCAGATACTCTTTGCTATTGAGCTTTCAAATTGAGAAATGATGAAGCAACATACCAATGACTTATGGGCAATATCTTCTACTTTTATAGTGGAAAGAACCTTAAGTTCTACATTGATGATCTTGCAATGAAGAATCAAACATATAAAACATCGAAAAGATTAGGAGGAAACTTTCTGTATGATAAGAACTCAATCTTAACATGTTCATTTGGAGCCAAGTCTAGGAAATTGTTGGATTATATTATTTCATCAAGTAGAATTACGCTTAAGACAGTGATGGAGACAACTTCATTTCAATTGAATAGTGAGATTTACAGGTTGATAGGGCGTGACAAGTCTTAGCCCCTTCATCTCTTGATCAACAGAAAAGTGTGCACCATTCTTTAAGGCCCTGAAGAAGGTCTAGGTTTCCAAATGGACAAAATAGTGTGAGATATCTTTTCAAGAACTCAAACAATATATGACATCACCTCTAATCTTACGTTGCTCAAAGCCAAGATGGCCATTATTGTTATATCTCGAAGTCAGCAGATAGTTGTCAACATAGTCTTGGTTTGAGGGGAGTCACGAAAGCATCAATGTGTTTACTACATGAGCAAAATTTTGACAGAAGCTAAATTGAATATCATATCATAGAAAAGCTAGGATTAGCTTGTCATTTCACATGGTGACTTGCACCTTAATTTAAGTCCATCAAATAAAAGTAATGGCTCATAAGCTATTGAACCAAGTCTTAATTTAGCCAAAACATGCAAACAAACTCAAAAGCGGTCAATTGATCTGAGAATAAACCATTGTATTAACCACATACAAAAATTAAGACACAAATAAATGCTAGCTAACTTGTTGCCAAATTTGTCCTATCTCTAGAGGTAGAGCTCGTATCAAAAGATTGTATGCTCATTGATGTAGCGTCAATAGTCAATAGTAGTAGAGTGGGTGTAGTTCTCATCATCTTAAAAGGAGCAGTTTTATATTAAGCTCTTCACCTAAAGTTCTAGGCCACAAAAAATCAAGCAAATATAAAGCAATGCTCTTCAGGCTTCGATTTGTGCTTAGCATTGGAGTGAAGAAATTTTGTCTTGAAATAATCTTAACTAGAGATAAACCAAGTCAACAAGAACATTATTGTAATAACTAAAGTAAAGCCAAGGCGTTGATCACAAAGTTTGAGAAGTACAATGACCCACACAACTCTTCCATCAAAGAGATGGAGACCCCATCTATTGATGAACCTAAGTCGATACAAATAGACCAAGTCAAACATTGGTGCATCAAGATCTTCAATTATTTGATGACTTAGAAGCGGCCACGCAACTACGTCAAAGCAATGAGGATGCAAAAGGAAGATCCAAGATATATTCATTTTTAATGAAGTCATTTACACTACATGAAAATCTGTCATTACCGTCGAACGATCCGACGGAAATATTTACATCGGTAAAACCAACGGATTTACCGGCGGAATATGTGCTGGTAACTTTATGACGAAATTTCTGGCGCAATTTTTGCCGTTGAAACACCAGCACATATTCCGCCGGCTTTTTGCCGGTATTTTAAAGGTTTACGACATATATTCTGTCGGTAATTACCGGCGAATATTGCGCCGGCTTACTTAAACTCGACGAAACTTTACCAGCGTATTATTCGCCGGTAAGGAAACCGACGGATAATACGCCGGTAACAGCGCGTTTTCCTATAAGTGTTATAAGAAATCCTAGATGAGAGTGAGTAAAAAATATCTCACTTGTCTAATTCCATGAGGTGTTGGAAAATATTCATAGAAATAGATAAGTGTGGTAGACATGTGATTGGTAATATTTGACAAAGAAAGCACTTCAACAAGGGTATTATATGCACAAATTAAGGTATAACACCAACGTATTCACAAAGATGCGTCATAGTTTCAAATTCTAGTATAGAAATCCATCAATCAAGCAAACATACAAATTTGATAACAAGCCCATGGTCATTTATCGTGCACATATGGACATCCTTAGGCTTATTATGAAGGTCATGGAAGAAGGTATTCTTGTTAGTCATATTAGATTATTTTACTAAGTAGATAAAGCCATATAATTAGCTAACTAATCTACTATTATCAATATAAAGTTCCTAAAGGACAATATTTTCACTCATTATGGTTGTCCCTACGCCATCACAATTGACAATAATATATAATTTGCTATGTCTAAGTTATTCAAGTTTTATAAAGAGAATATGACTACGTTAAAGTTTTCTTCAATCAGAAGCCACCCATTGAAAAACAAATAAATTCAAGTTATCAATAAGATAATTCACTTAATATGAAAAGGCTAGAAATTAGACAAGGTCTTTGGATTGACAAGTTTTGGCTACGTTGTGGATGTATAGAATGACATCGATTAAACAACACTTTCTTTGGTCTTTAGAACAAAGACACTCATCCCAATAGAATTCTTTCAATCCAACATCAAATTCCAAGCTATAGGTGCAATCCAACCAATTCAACAATACTAATGGAGATAAATTAACTAAAAATGATTAACCTCGACAAGCTCAGGGAATCTAAAATTAATGTAGCTTGTTGAGTGCATGAACAATAGAAGAGTTTAGCCTACTCTTTTAATTCATGGGTTAAGCATATGAAATTTCATTCGAGGGAATTAGTCTTCTGAAAGATTAAAGCTACCAACATGATTTCCATGACATCGCAATCCATTACATAAGTTCATATGCCCAAGCAAAAAACCCATCATGCCACCGCCCTCTTCTAATACCATCTTCTTTTGCTTATTCAGATTTGATACATTAGCCTCCACTTTGGAAGGCAAATCACTAACACTTATGCATATTTGAGTGAATTATAATTTTATTCTATTATAGGGAAGAAATTCAATATACAAGAATACGCAAAACATAGATTAAACCTTTGAGAAAATTGATATCCAAAAATATCATGATTGGAAAATTTTCAACTGCTGCTGCTGCTAAATTGGAAGACTAAAATGTGCGATGTAAGAAAACGATATAATAAATAAAATATGCTCTTACCAATGAATTTAATAGTGGGGTCCTCAAATAGGCAATCTTTAGCATAAATGTTTGACGTGAAATTTCCTGTGAAGTACAAAAAGCACAAATTTTACAATTAAAAATGTCTAAGATAAATTCTTTTCAATGGAAATGGGTGACATTGACTAAATTCCTTAAAAAATGATTTTATCATTAAATATGCCCTTTAAACATTATTTAAAGCATCTCATATGAACAGAAGCTTTGCTTGTATGCACACTGTCCACCCAAATTCACAACTTTTTTATTAATCTATATTAAATTTTATGATTACCTCACTTTGGCTAATCAAAATATATAATTTCCTTTAAAATCTAATCTAAAATTCCTCCAAATAACATTTTCATCCCTCTCTGATGTTCAATTGTTCATCATCGCTACCAACATCCTATAATCTTCAACTCTATTATATCTAATCTAACTTAATAAAAATCACTAAATCTCATTCCTATAATCCTATTATCACAACTATATCATAACCACTTTAGCTATATTTCCTTTTTGCACGAATCACCTAGCATATATCATCATCATCATTACCGTTATCCCAACTATTTTGGGTTGGCTTTATGAATCCTCATTTTTCAGTCATTCTTGGCAAGTAATGTTTTAAGTTTTAAATATATTCTTTACAAATCATTTTGCATAAATTCTATCCATGTAACCTTAGGTTTACCCATTCTCCTTCTGAATCCCTTGACAGCAATTTTATTTACTTATTTAATGGTTTTAAGTTAAATATTTAGCTTTGGTCGTTGCCCAATTTCTAGCCCATGTAATTATAGTGTATTTTATCTATTTTCTTGAAATTCTTCAAAAACCAGATTTCTTATCATTAATAACCTTATGCATCTCCTCATTCAAACCAATTTGCACACTCACCAAAAACTTTCATGAAAATAATCCTAATTAAACTAACCATTTACAACAAAATATGTTCAATTTTAAAGTTTTGACCGATCTCTCTCAAAAAATTGACTTGCGAGTTTAACAACTCACCATTTAAGTTTCTCTGTCTTAATGTAGATCAAGCAATTATCTTTTTATACTTCTAAGATATATAACAGTAATTCTATTCTACATTTTATGGTCAAACCTTCATTTGGACAGTATTAAAAAAAAAAACTTTGAAGTAAAGAAATGAGTAGTTTCTACTAAAAAAATAAATTTTTACAGGTGATTAAGTGCTCTTATAACTCCTTAACAAATCACTTATTCTTCTTCACCCCAACAATTTCATCTTTCAGATCATATTCCTATTATACATACTTTATCTCAGTACTAAACCTTCCAAATAAAATTGCTTATAGCATCCCCGTATATGTTTAAGAGTACTTTCCTTTTCATTTCATTTCTTGCAAATCTAAAATAATTGCTTGCCTTCTAATCATTGAGTCTACCAACTCCTTGTCCTATGACCAATTAGATTAAATTGTCTTACATAAGTGGTGGTTGACATCCCAGCCACCCTAACATAATTCTCACCAATCATCACAATAAGATGTTGTGTCACATCAAAGAAAGTGATGCCCTAAAAAACTCTACTGACTTCCAAGTTAAACCTAACTTGCCCCTTTTATAAAAATGCAAAGCCTAATTTTCTGAAGCATCACTATACCATTACACCATACAAGTAATTAAACTATAAAAATCATCAAGATTTAAGTCGTACAAATCTAGAAATGGGAGTTAACCATCATCAATCAACTAATAAAACTCATACAGGAACAGCAAGTTAATGAAAAAAAAAAAAAGATAATTAAATCAAACATCAGCCATAGTTCTTGGGCATTGCCTGTGAGAAAATAAGAACGACTATAATCTGCATTAAGAATTAGAAGTACATCGTCCACGCTGCTAGCCAAAGGAGCTTCATGGAGCCCAGTATCATCCCTATTCCCCGACAATTTGAAGAAAGAAAAAAAAAAAAAAAACATTATATACAGTAAAAATCAATAAGCTAGAGTATAAGAGACAACCAGTAAACACACAGATATGACCTTTTTTTCTTAGGGGAAAGGGTCCTGAGAAGCTCGGTTAACCCACTGATGGCTGACTTTAGCAGGGGAGGGGATTCCTGGTGGTCTGATGAGCTGGCAGAGCAGCGCAAAGAGCGACGTCTGCGTGAGGAAACCGGAGCTGGGAGGCAAGGAAGAAAGGAACGCCCTAACGAAAGTGCGGTGGAAGAAGCTGAGGAGAAAGAAAAAGCCAGAGCTAAAGATAGACCATCTGCAGCCATTGTCATGGTATCGAAGCTTCTCACATACATTCTAATCTCGGGCAGGCATAAGACATTGTTATTGCTCAAAGAAATAATCATGAAATAATATTAATTTCCAGCCATTAAATGCTATAAATATCTTCACAAGATCATGAATCGAAAAAAGCTCTCAAATTTATATCGGATAAATTTGTAGAAAATAATCTTGATTGTGCGTGAATATTGACTGTTTCCTTTATTTATATTGTGAATCTCTTTATTTGTAACTTAATTAATAATTTTTTTAGAGTTATAAAATATTTATCTTATTAGAGCTATAAATAATTAAATATGATAACAACATTTGATATAATTAAAATTTTTTATTATTAATAATTGAAATTCTTCAAACTACATAAAAAATAAATTTTGAACTTCAACTAAGTATAAATTCATTTTTTTTATTAATAAGAATACAAATAAATAGGGCTGCAAATGAACCGAGCGTTCGACGAGCTACTCGTGGCTCAGCTCGATAAGGGCTCATTCATGTTCGTTTGATAAAATAAATGAACAAGTTTGAACAACTTTGACAACACTCGATAGCTAAATAAACAAGCTTGAACACCCTGACGTTCGGCTCGTTTATGTTCACGAACAAGAACGTTTAAAGCTCGTGAACATGCTCGTTAAGAAACTCGATTAAAAGCTCAATTATGTATTATTTAATTAAAAAAAATTATTTAACATAATTAAATAAAAAAGATATTTAACATTTATAACTAAGCTTGTTTATATTAGTGTTTAACTAATAATATATTTTATTATTATTTAACTATTATACTGTTATTTAATATATATATATATATACATACGCCTAACTTATCTCTACTCTATTTGCACTATTTTAATTTAATGCACCACCATGCTGCCTCTCTCTCTCTCTCTCTCCCTCCGTGGCTACAGGAAAAAAAGGGTAGGGAGGCTTTAGTCCCACACCCTGGGCTCAAACTTTTTCTACATAAAACAAATAGAACTTCAGAGCTCATTCATTGAGTTATGTGCGGTAGGAGGGTTGTTGAACTCGTTCTCTGTTGGATTGTCTAGCTAGCGGCTGAAATAATTAAATATTTTTGTTGATTAACGGTCAGCTAGCTGGCTCGATTGCGAGCCGCTCGAATTCGAGATGCGAAACAAACCGAGCTCGACATGTAAGATTTAAAGAGCTTGAACTCGAACAATTGTCCCAAGAAGCTCGACGAGCTTCGAGCCAAGCTTGTGCTCAATTCTGACAAACACAGCGAAGCATGAACAGGCCAAAGCTCGGCTCGGCTCGTTCGTTGCAGTACCTAAATAATAATAGCCAACAATTTTGAATTAATTAACCTAGATGTATTTCAAATGAAGAGCATTAAAAAAAATGTTAATTTTCTCTGTTTGTTTTAAACTCGCCGGCCTCGGTTCGTTTGCAGTCGCTAATAAAATAATAAGCAACAAATCATATGATTTAATTAACACTAGATGAATATTTCAAATGAGAGCATTTAAAAAAAATGTTAATTTCTCTTTTGTTTTAATAAATAATATTATACTTAAACTTTATTACAATAAACAACAACATCAAGCCTATTACCACTACGTGCGGTCGAGCTAGCATGAAATCCTTTTCTCATTGTGGTCCATGTAAGGATCAAATTCCTTTTAAATGTCTAATAAAAGAAAGGTCATATTACATAATTGTCTAAATCAAGTTTTTATTAGCTTCTACTTTCTTAATATAAGCAATCTAATACATCTTACTTCTCCTAATCGGATCATTGAAGGCCCATTGTTTTGATCGACCAACCATCTAAGGCCTCTCTCTAATCTTAATCTATGCCACTGGAGCTACTCAACCTTTTCATATAAGCTCCGTTTCGTATCCTATCTTCTTACACGTAAATCCACCTCATCCACCTAAGCATCCCCATCATATGCCGCAACACTAACTAATAGCATATTATGCCTTCTCTTTTAATGGCCAAATTCAACATAGCTTGCAGGTTTCACCATCATATATAAAATTTTCCTTAAAAGTTTGAGGGATACTTTTCATACACAACAAACGCCGATGCATTCCTCCATTCAACCATCAACTTGTAATTCTACTGATAAATCCTCATTATTTCACATCACGCTGAACAATAAATCCAAGATATCTAAAACCGTGTACTCTTATTAATAATCTTCTCGCCCAATAGTCACAATCCCCTCACTGGTCTATTACTACTAAAATTACACCTCCATAATATTCTGTTTAGATTCTACTCAAGTTTGAAACGCTTTAGTCCCTAATGTTGACCTCGCCATAATTCAAGATTTAGCTTTCAACTCCCTCTCTAGTCTATCAACCAAGAAGAATATCATCAGCAAAAAGCATACACCAAATGTAACATCCTCTGCAAAATGTCTAGTGAAGAACATCATGACTTAAAAGCAAAAAGATATGAGCTGAAGGCTGGATCCTTGATTGTTACCCATCGAAATAGGGAAATACTTGGTCAAACCACCTGTGTTTGAACACAAGTAATAGCTCTATGCATAATATCTTTAATGATTTGAATATAAGCATTATTAATTCCTTCTTTTCAGAACTCTGCGCATAGCACTTTTTTTGGAACTTTATCGTTTTATATGCTTTTTCTAAATCAATAAAATATCATATGTAGTGCCTCCTTATTTTCCTCTATATTTCTCCATCAAACCTCTTAACAAATATAATGACTTATATAGTCGACCTACCCGGCATGAAATCCAAATAGATTTTGAGAACATTAGTATCACGCCGCAACCCTATTGCTCCATAACTCGGCTCCCATAGTTTTTAAAGTATGGACACTTTAGCTTAATTCCTCTATAATTCAGGCACAATCTTGTGGCATCACCTTTATTCTTAAAAATAGGAATAACATACTCATTCTCCACCCATTTTGACATCTTTTTTGTTCTCAAAATAGTATTAAAAAGTTTTAGTAGCCCAAGAAATTCCTCATCTCTTAAGACAATTTCCAATACCTCTATTGGAATATCATCAGGTCCAACAGCTTTTCCACCCTTCATTTTCTTTAAAGCCTCTCTAACTTCGATTTTACTAATACGCCGATAAAAATAGAAATCTTTATTTTCATTTAGGGTGCTAAGATCACTATAGTCAATCTTATTTTCATAATTTTCATTAAAAAGTTTAGCAAAATATCTTATCCACCTTTATCGAATATCATCTTCTAAGAAAAGTATTTTTTGATCTTCATCTTTAATACACTTCACTTGAACTAAATCCTTACTACTCCTATCTCTTTATTTAGCTAACTTATACATATATCTTTCTCCCTTTTTAGTATCTAATATATTATATAAATAACTAAAAACTAAGGTCTTTGCATCACATATTGCTTTCTTATATTCCTTACGAGCCTCTTTATATCTTTCCCAATAATTAAAATTTTTAAAATTAAATCAATTTTTATAACAAATCTTCTTATTCTTAATCTTTTCTTGCACATTTGGATTCCACCACAAACTATTTTTACTATTATGAACTTTTCTCTTTGATACTCCAAGCATATCTTTTGCAATATTCTTAATATCACTAGCCACTTTTTCCCACATAACATTAGCATCATCATGCACAGATAAAATCTTAATATTTCAAATCTTACTCTCAAAAATATATTTTTTAATATTCTTTAAATTCCCCCATCTAATCCTAACATATCGTTTTACTTTATTTTTTTATTATCTGCCCCTTTATCTTAAAGTTTAAAACTAATAATAGATGTTGGGTACATAAATTTTCACTCGAAATAATTTTACAATCTTTGCAATCTAAATGTCATAATTTTCTTATAAGAAAATAATTAATTTAAGTTGTACTATATTCATTTTTATAAGTGATCAGATGCTCATTCCTTTTCTTAAATAATGTATTAGCAATTGAAAAATCATAAGTTAAACAAAAATCTAATATGGTCTTACCACCTTCATTTATTGTTTCAAAATCATAGCCACCATGAATGCTTTTAAAATCATCTATCTCTCTACCAATATGTTCATTTAAATCTCCTCCAATAAAAACTCTTTCATCTAGAGGTATCTTTTGTAATAATTCTTCTAAGTCATTCCAAAATTTTAATTTAGAACTCATATCCAAACTTACTTGAGGAGCATAAGCACTTATAATATTAAAAATATTATAATTAACAATAATCTTTAAAGCTATAAATATATCTCTAATCCTATTAATTTTTATAACATTACCCTTCAAACTCTTATCTATAATAACACATACACCATTTCTAGTACGACTCCTACCCGAATACCAAAATTTAAAACCTAAACTATCAATTTTCTTAGTCTTCTCTCCAACCCATTTAGTTTCCTGAAAGCAAAAAATATTTATTTTCCTATGAATCATAATATCTATTAATTCCATTAATTTTCCTGTAAGAGAACCTTATTCCAAGTTCATATCCTATTTTAGTTTCATGGACTAGCTTCTTTGCCCACATCCATCATTGATGTGGGAACCCTTGCCTATTTAACACTGCACCCGGGCGTCAGTGCAGCGACCCTTACACACTTGTCATTGTATTCATGCCATACAGTGCGTCGCTTCCAAGGGACGCCCTAACATTAACACAATTTCTTAAAAGGATTAATATCATTATTACTCGATAAGTTTTAAGCAGGCTGTTAACTACCCAACACAACCCTCCACTTTTCTTATCCAGGACTTGGGACCTGACAACGATAGTGTTATATACATAGCTTTAATATAAAAATAATTTAATCTTTTTATGATTAAAATGTTAAAACTTATAATGCAATTAAATAATTTAAATTTATATAAACATGATAAAAATAATCTAATCTAAATTAACTTATAAGAGCAGCCACCGTTCAACACCTTTGTTGACGTTCGACTTCGCTAGCTTCTTTGCCTCCTTCGACATGTTTGACTTTGCTACATAAGTTACTAGCTTCTTGGCCAATTTGGACGTCATTCTTTCCTCTCGGACGGAAAGTCACGATAGTTTGATGACGTTGGATTAGAAGTAACGACGAAAAATCGCAGCTGCAAAGGTAACGATCTTTCACCCCTTTAACGTGCTTCTTCGCCAAAATCTCCTAAATCCGCCAAAATATTGGATTTATGAAATCCATGATTTAGGAGAAAAAGGGCGAAAATGTTGTGAAGCGGGCTTAGGGTTTGTTTTGCAATAAGTGGGGGTTAGTAAATCCTGTGAATCCAAATTTAGTAAATCCTGAGGATGGTAATTTCTGAAAATTGTTTGGTATGACAAATTTTTTGATAACATAGTTCAGGGTTTATGGAAAGTAGGGAATTAAATTTGAAGAAGATAATTACATACAACATAAAAACACAACTTGAATTCATACAATATAATTGAAAAATTAATAAAGGGCACTTAACAAACTAATATTGATTACTTAATTATTTTTTGAAAGTATAAATTATTTCATTAATACATATACTAAATATTTTAATTAATTAGTTAAAGATTAAACTAATCTAATGGCAATTATACTATTAATAACTATAATAATCAATAAATTACAAATATTAATTAAACTAATTTAATGATAACTATACTACTAATTATTAAGTTTAATTAAATTAGATTATTTAATTATGAAACTAATAATACTACTAATTATTTAATTAATCTAATTAATTATTAATGTGTAAATTATGTTATATGATCAATTATGTAAAAAATTTCCACTGACTACACTGCATATTTCGGACTCCTGGAACTTCGATGTTCAAAAATAGGGAGGCAATTGACACATCATCCAAAAATCATCTTGATCGGGCACGAATCTCAAAGCAAAATCAAGTTGGAAAATTCTGAAATTAAAATCAGGAGGATTTGAACTCCGATTTCAGCAAACTTATAGTCGAACTGAGCGTCTCGGAAATACGAACCCAACGACACCAAATTCAACCCAATCCGAGCCCAAACGGGTCCAAATCAAGGACCCGAAGCGCTATTGGAAGGTTCAAACCACAATTTGGATTACCAAATGGCTTCCAAACATAACAAACTTATAGACGAATCGAGCGGCTCGATGAGACGAATTCAACGAGCCCAAGATCATTGAATTCCGACATCACTACGACATTCAAATGTCTATCAAACGGTTCATGATCAAGGGATTCAAGATCGGCCGTCCATCCAACCACTCCCAACTTATCCTTGATCATCCACCTATTTATTTACGGGTCATGTTATTCTCCAAATCTATAAATAGAGCTCTCTCTCCTGTTGAAAAGTGATCCCTAAGCCTAAAGAAAAAAGAAAGAGATTGGAGATCGCTCTTGCTTTTTAACCTCCTCGACGACCGCCGAAGTTTCGCCGGACCACCGCTGGAGCTCCGTAGAACCACCACCTAAGAATTTTTTCACATGAGATTTACGGGGCTATCAAATCCTGCATAAATCCTGTTGCCAAACAGCCTCTTACTTACCGTGAGATTTAACTTTGCGTTTTTGGCAGGATTTAGAACAAATCTTGCTTAAATCTTGAATAAATCTTGCATCATTCCAGCTTCCTTCCGCCACTCGAATCACCGCAAACCAACAAATTGAACCCTCGACCTATTCGACGCCGGGACTGTCTTCTTCGGAAAGAACATCATAATCTCAAAAAAATGGTCCGAGAAGCCTCTTCGGACGAAGAGGACGATAGCCAAGCCCTCGTCCCCGAGCACGAGGTGAAACCTCTGTCGCCGCGGCACGACCAGCGCCAATTCGGTGCTTTGGAGATCGCGAATGGCCTTAGAGTCCAGATCAGCCGTCGGCTTCGCTATCGCCGATGGCATTGGTATCTCCTGGCAATCTGCCTGCCTCTTGTACTCATCCTCGTCTTTTTCTCCCTGGATCTCGGCCGCCTATTCCGTGGCATCACCATTATTCGTGCGGACTCTCCAGGGGATCGGTTGCGGGAGGTTGGTGTTTGTAGGAAGGTAGATCGACCGGAAGATGGGAGGACGATTGAGTGGAAGCCAAAGAAAGACCGTTTTTTGTTTGCGATATGTCTGTCAGGTCAGATGTCCAACCATTTGATATGCCTAGAGAAGCATATGTTCTTTGCTGCACTTCTTGGTCGGGTTCTGGTCTTCCCGAGCCATAAATTTGACTATGACTACAGCCAAGTTTTGGACATTAATCATATAAATCAGTGTTTGGGTAGGGAAGTTGTCATCTCCTTTGATGATTTTGCGGTAAAGATGAAGAACAAGTTGAAGATAGATAGGTTCATATGTTACATTGCAAACCCCCCCTGTTATCTTGATGAAGAACACATCAAGAGATTGAAGAATTTGGGGATTTCATTGGGAATGATCGAAGCTGCATGGCCTGAGGATGCCAAGTTAAAGATGCAAAAGAAGAGGGTTGTAGCAGATATTATGCCTAAATTTTCTTCTGATGATGAAGTGATTGCAATAGGGGACATGTTCTATGCTGATGTGGAGGAGGAGTGGGTTATGCAGCCTGGTGGTCCCATTGGTCACAAATGTAAAGCTCTAATCCAACCAAATAGGTTGATCCTCCTCACTGCACAGCGGTTTGTGCAGACATTCTTAGGAAGCAATTTCATAGCATTACATTTTCGAAGGCACGGATTTTTGAATTTCTGGTAAAGTCTCATACTCAGATCATGCTTCTTTAAATTTTGTATAACCCAATCTTTTGAAAATTCAGAGCAACTTGTTACTTGACTATATCTGATTTATTCTTCAGGTTGGGGTCTAATTTTTATCTTATTGTGTTCACTAGTTCTAATTCAAACTTAGATCTCACTTGGAATCTAATGTAATGATCCATGAAGCTTTTATTGAACTTGTATCATTAGGCTTAATGATTAAATTGATTTGATCAAATGCCACAATTTATAATTAGCTTTGCCTATTCGTAGCTAATAATGCCTAATAGTTTTGTAGAAATCTTTACCAAGTTCCTATTCTTGTTCTCATTTTACAATGTCGAAAAGCATTTTTGAGACCTCATAAGTTTGACGGTTCCAAATTTCAGAGGACATTAAGCTGTGAAACTCTCTGTTCTATAGTCTAGTTGCTAAGTTCATGAGGAAATTAGTAGTTTAGTTGAACATTGAGCTTCTTGTATTAGATGAATATTTGCATAGCTTTTTCATAGAACTTTTAATGCAGTTTGTTTGAAGATAATTTTTTTTGGGTATAAAACAAACTAGAGATAAAAATAATAATTATAAGAAAGAACAAATGAACTAGTCCCATTGCATTCCCAAGTTTGTTTTGTCTTAGCGTGATATCCTTTTTAGAGATTTTTTTTTCTAACATCAAAATGGTTTTTTTGTTCAGAGTGTTGGTGAAATAGATGGGAATTTATTAGTAGAATTAAAGTTGGATGGTTGAATTAGAGGAATGCATTGGGCTTGTTGTCTGATGGAAAAGTACCCCTCAAACTTTAGTGAAAATTTTATAAGATGATGGTGAGACCTGCATGTTGAATATTGGCCGTTAAAAGAGAAGCATAATATTAAGTTAACTAGTTAAGTGTTGCAGAGATGAGGATGCTTAGGTGGATGAGTGGATTTACTGTAAGTAATAGGATACGAAACGAGCATATACATGAAAAGGTTGGAGTAGCTCCAGTGGCAGATAAGATTAGAGAGAGTTGCCTTAGATTGTTTGGCGCATAAAAGGTGGCCATCCAATGACCCGATTAGGAGAGTAGATGTATTAAATTTGGCTTATGTTAAGAAAGGTAAAAGTAGACCTAAAAATATTTGATTTGACAATATTAAAAATGACCTTTCTTTATTAGATTTAAGTAAGAATTTGATTCTTAATGTGACAAAATGGAGTAAAAGGATTCATGCAGCTGACCTCGCGTAGTGGGCTAAAGGCTTGTTGTTGTTGTTGTATCAAAATGGTCATTCTACCATGTATAAAAGATCAGCTTATTGAAATGAACAATGCCATGGCTTTATCAGTTATATTTCTTGGAAGGGTAAAAGAAGATGGATTTTTTTTAGAATCATTAAATATTAATTCATTGATAAGGTGCTCAACTGTTTCTGATATATATTTATTTTAAACATTAAGAACATTTGTTTCAAATCAACTTATGTTTGTGAAAATATTGAGGCCTTGGGTGGACAATTGCATATTTTTGTATAAATTTGGCATTGAAAAATAAGGCTCAAGAAAGAGCATGTGGAGTTTAATAGAAGGAATTTAGTAGCATGGCTCCTATAGTTTAATAAAAGTTAACCATCGTTTGAAGATAAAGGAGGAATACAAAGATTTTGAAGGATTACTGTCAACTTGGAAGAAAGAATACTTAGAAGAGCGGAAATTAAAGCTTTGGCAGGGGTACATGGATGAGAACTTTGAATGCATCAAGGTGGATTTGAGGGGAAGTTTTCTTGGTGATGATTGCATGCATTGATTTTTTACTGAATGTTCATCTTACATGTTTGTTTGACAAAATAAACTCAAATTTGGAGATTTATGTGGTTTTCTATACAATCTAGCCTGTCATTTGCTTGCTACTCAGAAGTTCTGTATTCCATATTCTATGCTTATGATATATAATGACTTACGCGAAGTTATTGCTTCGATCCTGTAGGTTTTAAGGTATTGTAATTAATTCTGGAAGCTTGTATGGTATTTCAACTTGTATTTGGGATTTCCACTTGTGGAGCACTCTTTTATATGCAATGTTCCTCCTGAAATTCTCTGTTTTTCATTTTTTCCTTTTTTTAATAATGGGTTTTTACGATTAACCCATGGACTTGATTCCCACTTTCATGGACAATATGCTTTATGTGTGTATCGACTAAGAATGTCTAAGATCTTGATGCTATTGAGTAGTAAGATACCCTATGAATGCTTTTTGTCTCTAATTTTTCCTGCATGGGAGTGATTTATTGATGATTATTGAGAATTGAAGAAAATTCTAGTTATTCTTAATTTGTTTTCCCCTTGCCTCACCTTGTCCATCTCAATAAAGTGATTGTATATGTGAACGATAAGGCCCTATGGCGCTGGTATATGCTGGAAATTGTTAGGTGAAATGTTACAGGTAAGTTAATATTCACAAAATAGAGATTGTCACTATGAATTATCCATTTTCATTTATTTAACGATGTTTAAATGGTCCCATTTTCTATTCAAAAATTTAAAATCATCATGTTATATGTGCTTCATTTTGTTTTCTTCTTATTTATTGTCTCATATTGGAAATCAATCATCAAACCAATTATGTTACGCAACAATGTTATAAAGCAATAACAAATTTTTTAACTCTCTCTCTAACAATAGCTCTTAATTTTTTATGAACATTAGGGTTCTCTACATCAGTAAATGCATGAGAGTTGAGAAGCTAGAAAAACTCACCCTTATCTGACTAAAATCCTAAATATCTCCTTCTTTTTAATGACATTTGCAATCATCATTGCAACTTAGTCCATTCGAGATGTTACCAAAATCCTACTACCAAAATTCCCATAGCCAAAGGGGAAAGCACTTCCTCCAATTTACTTTTATCCCGCTTCTCGTCATTCTCCCAAATGTCATCCAGCACAAATAAGAACTTTTTGGACATCATCTCAGTTCGAAGACTATCTTGAAGTGCCTCAAGTGTCTCCAAACAAGGCCTCTCCTTGAGAGATTCCAACACATATTTTTCATATAAAAGTTGTTGGAAACACAAACCCACATTTTGTAAGTTAATATTCACAAAATAGAGATTGTCACTATGAATTATCCATTTTCATTTATTTAACATCAACGGTCCCATTTTCTGTTCAAAAATTTAAAATCATCATGTTATATGTGCTTCATTTTGTTTTCTTCTTATTTATTGTCTCATATTGGAAATCAATCATCAAACCAATTATGTTACGGAACAATGTTATAAAGCAATAACAAATTCCACATTTTATCACTTCAAAATTCCTCAATCAACATTTCTTATTAACTACCGGCAATTTAGATTTCATTTGGGACGGTTTTTTACTGCTTCTTCAAACAGCTTTTTAGTACAAAAGTTGAAATTTTTATATTTGAAAGCTTCTTAAAGAAGAAGCAGCAAAAAAGCCGTCCCAAACGAAACCTTAGTCTTTTTCTTTTAGCTTCTTATCCATAAGCATTCTTATTATGATATTAAATGGTGCATGACACTATTAGTAAAATATTGATTCATTCATAGTTTTAAGCTGACAATTTGTTATGCATTCTTTGTTTGACCGCAGCAATGCGAAAAAAGAAAGCTGCTTCTATCCCATTCCCCAGGCTGCCGAATGCATACTCAGGGTAGTTAAACAAGCCAATGCTCCAGTGATCTATCTTTCGACAGATGCAGGCGAAAGTGAAGCAAACCTTCTACAATCATTGGTTGTTTTGGACAACAAGCTTGTTCCATTGGTCAAGCGACCGAACCATAATAGTGTTGAGAAATGGGACGCTTTGCTTTACAGAAACCATATTGGTGGAGATCCTCAAGTGCGTTCCCTCCTCTTTTAAGTTTCGTTTGGGACTACTTTCTCGCTGCTTTTTGAAACAACTTTCTAGTACAAAAAAAATTAATTATTGTATTAGAAAGCTTCTTTAAGAAGCATCAAAAAAGTTGTCCCAAATGAAGCCTTAATCTTGACCCGTAACATTGATTGAAAGAACAAATTTATAGCTATCTTAAAGCTACTAGCTGTTTTCCCCTTTTCATTTTGTTTCCTGAAGGTTGAGGCCATGCTTGATAAGACAATATCAGCTATGTCGACTGTGTTCATAGGAACCTCTGGCTCGACATTTACTGAAGATATACTGCGACTAAGAAGAGGATGGGGAGTTGCATCGCACTGCGATGAATACCTTTGCAAGGGTGAGCTTCCAAATTTCATTGCTGAAACCGAATGAGAATCCAGGAGCTGACAATCATTTAAAGAAATGCTCTCTTCATAAACTTCAGGTCCCCGCTTTCTGTACTATAGCTTTCCTTGTTTGCTTTGTATTTTTTTTTATGTACATTTTTTTTTGGAATATTTTTTATGTACATTGAACTGTAGAAGATTGTGCTCTGTACTTCTCTTCACATCCTTAATGGATGCAGTATATTCATTATTTGTTATAGAGATGCATTCATATAATTGATCATTTTTAGTTCTCCCTCAGAGTCTCAGAAAAATGGTCCGATAAGCCTCTTCGGACGAAGAGGATGATAACCAAGCACTTGTCCCCGAGCACGAGGTGAAACCTCTGTCGCCGCGCCACAACCAGAGCCAATTCGGTGCTTTGGAGATCGCCAATGGCCTTAGAGTCCAGATCAGCCGTCGCTTCGCTATCGCCGATGGCAGTGGTATCTCCTAGCAATCTGCCTGCCCCTTGTACTCATCCTCGTCTTTTTCTCCCTTGATCTCGGCCGTCTATTCCGTGGCATCACCATTATTCGTGCGGACTCTCCCGGTCCCCGGATGCGGGAGGCCGAGCGACGAGCTCTCTTCCTCCTCCGGAATCAGGAACTAGGGCTTTTGCATTTGTGGAATCAGACTGTTCCTAGATCCAGTGCGTCGGAATTAATGATAGTTATACTACTAATTAATTATAAATTTGTAAATTATGTTATACGATCAATCATGTAAATTATTAATGATAGTTAATTAGTTATACTACTAATTATTCAATTAAACTAATATAATGACTATTTTAAAGAAGTTTTTATAAACTTCTACTAACATCAACTCGAGAGCAATGATGAGGCTGATTTAACCACATTATATCACATTTGAGCCGTTGAATCCATGCCATTAGGATCAATGGTTTGGATGGCATCAAATAGACGATGGAGGTGATGAAGCCTCTCCCACAGTTCAAATGATGGACATAGTGACAAGATTCGATTCGTTGTTTATAAAACACGAGATGTCAACGTCTCAGATCATTTCTTTCTCGTGCATTAGGTCTGAGAAACCCTAGTCACCCAATCGAATGGGCTAAAATTTGAAACAGGGCTCCCTCATGGATAGATGAAAAGTGGGGTGGTATTTTTAAAGCTTAACATGTAGTGTATAAAAAAGTTATGTAAATACTTAGATGCCAAGCAATAGTTTGAGAAATATCTTGATAGGAAGCTTATTTTTTTTGCTACTCTTGCTCCTTGAATCTTCCAGCACAAGTTTGCTAAGGGGTCAAGAGTTGAGGAAGCTTTGTTTGCAAATTAAACGAGTATGACAGAAATGGCCTTGGATTGTTGGAATCTACCAACCGATGACATTTGATTGGTGAGTTTATGCTAATTATAATATTATTTATTAAATTAATTGTTTATGTGTTAATCTAATGAGTATTTGATATCTAATTATATTAATAAGTATCTAATTAATTAGTTAATTTTTTAAATAACTAATTATTTAACTAATACTCCTATTAATATTAATCTAATTATATTAGTATTTAATTTCTAATTATTCAATTAAGTTAATTATACAATTACTTATTTAATTAATTTACTTAATTATTAATATTTTAAATTATACTAATTAAGTTAATCAATAATAACTTGAGGCGTGGGTTTGCCTTTCATCTTTCTCTGTTCGGCTTCGTTGCTTCGCAGGAGGTGTAGAGATTGCACGAGTCGCTTCTTCGGCTCCTTCGTTGCTGTTCGACTTCGTTCCTTCGACGCCTTTCCCTTCCTGTAGGATCGGAAGTTACGACATTTTGATCGGAAGCAACAATGGGAGCTCGCTGGCTGTGAAGGTAACTTTCTCTCCATTTCGCGCGCTTCTTCTGCCAAATTCACTAAATCCGCCGAACTAGAAGTTTTAGTAAATCCGGGATTTGCGGAAAAAAAGAGGGAAACGGAGGATTTATTCTGCCATGAGATTTACGGGGCTATCAAATCCTGCATAAATCCTGTTGCCAAAAAGCCCCTTGCTTACCGTGATATTTAACTTGGCGTTTTTTTGGCGTTTTGGCAGGATTTAGCTTAAATCTTGAATAAATCTTGCATCCTTCCAGCTTCCTTCCGCCACTCGAACCACCGCAAACCAACAAATTGAACCCTCGACCTACTCGACGCCGGGATTGTCTTCTTCGGAAAGAAAATCATAATCTGAAAAAATGGTCCGAGAAGCCTCTTCGGACGAAGAGGACGATAGCCAAGCTCTCGTCCCCGAGCACGAGGTGAAACCTCTGTCGCCGCGGCACGACCAGCGCCAATTCGGTGCTTTGGAGATCGCGAATGGCCTTAGAGTCCAGATCAGCCGTCGTCTTCGCTATCGCCGATGGCAGTGGTATCTCCTAGCAATCTGCCTGCCCCTTGTACTCATCCTCGTCTTTTTCTCCCTTGATCTCGGCCGTCTATTCCGTGGCATCACCATTATTCGTGCGGACTCTCCCGGGGACCGGATGCGGGAGGCCGAGCTACGAGCTCTCTTCCTCCTCCGGAATCAGGAGCTAGGGCTTCTGCATTTGTGGAATCAGACTGTTCCTAGATCCAGTGCGTCGTTGCCCTCAATTGCTTCCCCTCCTAGTAATGATTCGAGTTCGGCTACTGTTAAAGCTGATTTGCCTAGTACTCCCGTGCCGGGCTCGCTGGAGGAGTTCAGATCCGCATTGTTGGAGCAGATCAAGTTGAACAAGCAGATCCAGGCCGCATTACTTTCTCCTCACCGGGGTAGAAATGCTTCACTAGAGTCTGTGGATGACAATGTGGACGCCTACTTATCCGGCACAGGGGTTGGTGTTTGTAGAAAGGTGGATCGACCGGCCGATCGGAGGACGATTGACTGGAAGCCAAAGAAAGACCGGTTTTTGTTTACGATATGTCTGTCAGGTCAGATGTCCAACCATTTGATATGCCTAGAGAAGCATATGTTCTTTGCTGCACTTCTTGGTCGGGTTCTGGTCTTCCCGAGCCATAAAGTGGACTATGACTACAGCCAAGTTTTGGACATTAATCATATAAATCAGTGTTTGGGTAGGGAAGTTGTCATCTCCTATGATGATTTTGTGATAAAGATGAAGAACAAGTTGAAGATAAATAGGTTCATATGTTACATTGCAAACCCCCCCTGTTATCTTGATGAAGAACACATCAAGAGATTGAAGAATATGGGGATTTCATTGGGAAAGATCGAAACTGCATGGCCTGAGGATGCCAAGTTAAAGATGCAAAAGAAGAGGGCTGTAGCAGATATTATGCCTAAATATTCTTCTGATGATGAAGTGATTGCAATAGGGGACATGTTCTATGCTGATGTGGAGGAGGACTGGGTTATGCAGCCTGGTGGTCCCATTGGTCACAAATGTAAAGCTCTAATCCAACCGAATAGGTTGATCCTCCTCACTGCACAGCGGTTTGTGCAGACATTCTTGGGAAGCAATTTCATAGCATTACATTTTCGAAGGCACGGGTTTTTGAAGTTCTGGTAAAGTCTCATTCCCAGATTATGCTTCTTTAAATTTTGTTTTTAAAACCGAGCTACTATAGGCCAGTCATCATATAATCCTTATTTAATATAATCCATTCTTTTGAAATTTCAGAGTAACTTGTTACTTGACTATATCTGATTTATTCTTCAGGTTGGGGTCTAATTTTTATCTTATTGTGCTCACTAGGAGTTCTAATTCAAACTTAGATCTCACTTGGAATCTAATGTAATGATCCATGAAGCATTTATTAAACTTCTATCATTAGGCTTAATGATTAAATTGATTTGATCAAATGCCACATTTTATAATTAGCTCTGCCTATTCGTAGTTAATAATGCCTAATAGTTTTGAAGCAATCTTTACCAAGTTTTTATTCTTGTTCTCATTTTATAATGTCGAAAAGCATTTTTGAGACCTCGTAGTTTGACGGTTCCAAACTTCAGAGGACATTAAGGTGTGAAACTCTCTGTTCTATAGTGTAGTTGCTGTAAGTTCATGAGGAAATTAGTAGTTTAGTTGTACATTGAGCTTTTTGTATTAAATGAATATTTGCACAGTTTTTTTATAGAACTTTTAATGCAGTTTGTTCAAAGATAAATATTTTTTTGGGTATAAAACAAACTAGAGATAAAAATAATTATTATAAGAAAGAACAAATGAACTAGTCCCATTGCATTCCCTAGTTTGTTTTGTCTTAGTGTGATATCCTTTTTGGAGATTTTTTTTTTCTAATATCAAAATGATTTTTTGTTCATAGCGATGGTGAAATAGATGGGGATATTGCTAGTAGAATTCAAGTTGGATGGTTGAAATGGAGGAATACATCGGGATTGTTGTGTGATGGAAAAGTACTCAAACTTTAGTGAAAATTTTCTCAGATGATGGTGAGACCTGCGTGCATAATGTTGGCCGTTAAAAGAGAAGCATAATATTAAGTTAACTAGTTAAGTATTGCAGAGATGAGGATGCTTAGGTGGATGAGTGGATTTACTGTTAGAGATAGGATACGAAGCGAGCATATACGTGAAAAGGTTGGAGTAGCTCCACTGGCAGATAAGATTAGAGAGAGTTGCCTTAGATTGTTTGGTTACATAAAAAGGTGGCCTTCCGATGATTTGGTTAGGAGAGTAGATGCAATAGATTTGACTTATGTTAAGAAAGGTAAAGGCAGACCTAAAAATACTTGGTTTGAAAATATTAAAAATGACCTTTCTTTATTAGATTTAAATAAGAATTTGACTCTTAATATGACAAAGATGGAGGAAAATGATTCATGTAGCCGACCTCACGTAGTGGGTTAAAGACTTGATGTTGTTGTTGTTGTTGTATCAAAACGGTCATTCTACCATGTATAAAAGATCAGTTTATTGAAATGAACGAGGCCATGGTTTTATCAGTTATGTTTCTTAAAAGGGTAAAAGAAGATGAATTTTTTTTAGAGAATCATCAAATATTAATTCATTGATAAGGTGCTCAACTGTTTCTGATACATATAGTTTAAACATTAATAACATTTGTTTCAAAATCATTTTATGTTTGTGAAAATATTGAGTCCTTGGGTGGACAATTGCATATTTTTGTATAAATTTGGCATTGAAAATTAAGGCTCAAGAAAGGGCATGTGGAGAATAATAGAAAGAATTTAGTAGCATGGCTTCTAGAGTTTAATAAAAGTTAACCATTGTTTGAAGATAAAGGAGGAATACAAAGATTTTGAAGGATTACGGTCAACTTGGAAGAAAGAATACATAGAAGAACGGAAATAAAGCTTTGACCGGGGCACATAGATGAGGAATTTGAATGCATCAAGGTGGGTTTGAGGGGAAGTTTTCTTGGTGATGATTGCATGCATTGATTTTCTACTGAATGTTCATCTTACATGTTTATTCAAGGCTCATGTTTGAGCCAGTGCATATAGAATTTATTTTGAAATCAGTCATCTCTACTTTCGATAATATTTTTATCAGGTTAAATTTTAGAATGAATTCATGATTAGCCTTATCCTGAAGTGGGTCCTTTGCTTAGCCTGTTCTAGTTGATGTGTCAGAATTTTTTTCTCATATTTCACATTAAGCGGAGGCCTTCCAATGACCCGGTTAGGAAAGTTGAGGTATTAGATTTGACTTATATTAAGAAAGGTAAAGGTAGACCTAAAGAGACTTGGTTATAAAATATTACAAATGATCTTTCTTTATTAGATTTAAATGAGAATTTGACTTTTAACAGGACACAATTGTGAAAAAGGATTCATGTAGCTAACCCCACGTAGTGGGACAAAGACTTGATGTTGTTGTTGTTGTTGTTGTTATTTATTGCTCAAAATAATTATCACATCCTAATAACCCAACCCGATAATAGCACAATACTACCTATTGAACCATAGTGACCATTTAGACTAGATACTAGGCAAAGTTTTATCACTTATTCTTGCATATAAAGTCATTGTAAGTCAGTGCTATGTTTTATGTCATTTGTGCTAACATTTGCACCAGCATGCTACATTTTCTTCACATGAACTTTACAAAAATATCCCTTATCTAAAGTTAAGTGGAGGTTTTGAGGCTGAAATATTTATATATCTTGAATCCAGTTGAATCGCAACCTAAAAATATATGATGTTTTAGAGAATGGATGTACTTCCAAGAAGCAAGAGAGACACAACAAAAACTTCTACCCTCCCCCAACACCTATCCATAACCTAGCATTACTTAATAAGAAAAGAAATACTGCATTAGGCCCTGAGATTGCTTGTAGGAAGCACTCTATTTCCAGACCTCAGGCAAAATGTTCGCAGAGCTACTTGCTCCATCCTTTTTTTGTGCTTGCAAATGACTTTCCACCACTCCATGGATTCATAAATAATTTTGATAATTCAAATGAGGATGATAATAAAGAAGAGCAAACAATTAGTTTGTTTGGACAAAATAAACTCAAATTTGGAGATTTATCTGGTTTTCTATACAATCTAGCCTGTTATTTTCTTCCTACTTGTAAGTTCTATATTCCATATGCTATGCTTGTGATATATAATGACTTATGCGAAGTTATTGTCTCGATTCTGTAGGTTTTAAGAAATTATAATTAATTTTGGAAGTTATGTTTACTGGTGATAACAGGTTATTGCTAAAATGATTGTTAAATCATTTAAACAACTTGTATCTGGCACTTCATAATTCCACATTTTATCATTTCATAATTCCTCAATCAAAATTTCTTATCAACTACTGACAATTTAGGCTTTGTTTGGGACGGCTCTTTTATGGCTTCTTAAAGCAGCTTTCTAGTATTAAATTTTTAATTTTTAAACTAGAAAGCTGCTTTACGAAACAGTAAAAAAATCATCTCAAACGAAGCCTTAATCTTTTTATTATAGCTTCTTATCCATGAGCATTCTTATTATGATATTAAATGGTGCATGACACTGCGATTCATTCATAGTTTTGAGCTGACAATTTGATATGCATTCTTTGTTTGAACGCAGCAATGTGAAAAAAGAAAGCTGCTTCTATCCCATTCCCCAGGCTGCTGAGTGCATACTCAGGGTAGTTGAGCGAGCCAATGCTCCAGTGATTTATCTTTCCACAGATGCAGGCGAAAGTGAAGCAAACCTTCTACAATCATTGGTTGTTTTGGACAACAAGCTTGTTCCCTTGGTCAAGCGACCGAACCATAATAGTGTTGAGAAATGGGATGCCTTGCTCTACAGAAACCATATTGGTGGAGATCCTCAAGTGCGTTCCCTCCTCTTTCGAGCTTCATTTGGGACGACTTTCTCGCTGCTTTTTGAAGCAGCTTTCTAGTAAAAAAAATTAATTTTTGTATCAAAAAGCTACTTTAAGAAACATCAAGAAAACCGTCCCAAACAAATCCTCAATCTTGACCTGTAACATTTATTGAAAGAAAAAATTTATAGCTATCTTAAAGCTATTAACTGTTTTCCTCTTCTCATTTTGTTTCCTGAAGGTCGAGGCCATGCTTGATAAGACAATATCAGCTACGTCGACTGTGTTCATAGGATCCTCTGGCTCGACATTTACTGAAGATATACTACGACTAAGAAGAGGATGGGGAGTTGCATCGCACTGCGATGAATACCTTTGCAAGGATGAGCTTCCAAATTTCATTGCTGAAACCGAATGAGAATCCACCAGCTGACAATCATGTAAAGAAATGCTCTCTTCATAAACTTCAGGTCCACACTTTCTGTACTAAAGCTTTTCCTGTTTGCTCTGCATTTTTTTTTAATGTATATTGAACCGTAGAAGAGTGTGCTGTGTACTTCTCTTCACATCCTTAATGGATGTGGTATACTCATTATTTGTTATAGAGATATATTCATATAATTGATCATTTTGAGTTCTCTCAGGGGCTGTTTGGTATCGGATTTATAGCGGGATTTAAGTTGGATTTACGCTAAGTCCAGCCAAACGGTTTTTTGCGTGACTGTAAATCCAGTGACGACGTAAATCCTGGATGATATGATATCGTTGCTAAAAAAATTTAAAAAAATAATTAAAATAAAGAGAAATTTGATTCTTTCTTTGCTGGGAGCAGGAGAATCCAAAACTAGGCCACAAAAATCATGTGATTCGTGTGATTGGAGAGAGAGTGAAGCGAGCGTATGGGGCGGTTGCAGTGTACAATTTTGTGGCAATTGAACGAAGGAAAGGGGTGGCTCGTGAGATTAGTTGCTCACGAGTGAAACCAGGACCACACTGGTCCATGTTCATTTACAACACTCAACTAATTAGTTGATTTATTAAAAAAACAGTATTAATGCATAATTTATTTAAAAAATATTAACCTTTAAGAGTTTGCATTGCAGCATTATTAAAAATATTTAAATTATATCTCACTTCCATATATCAAATAATTCCTTATTTTTTATAATTTTATTATATATCATGAACCAGTAGAATTAAGCTATACCCTTTACTTCCAACTAGTCATCAACAATTCACTCGCCTTCTCTTGAACCAGCTTCCAAGTTGCTTCCACATGCTGCTTCTCCGTCAGCGTCCCACCAACCGCAAACCGCAACACGAATTCCCCACCAACGACCGCATGTGTCATAAATGCTTTCCCGCTTCCATTCACCGAATCAAGCAACTTCTTGTTCATCTCCCTACACTTCTTGCCCTCATTTTTATCAACCCTCAATTTAAAGCAAACAAGCGTCAATCGTCGTGGCACAACCAAGTCAAACCTCTCATCTTCAGCGACAAGTTTCTCGAAATGCTTTGCTATGTCCACATCATTCCTCACGTGCTCCATCAAATTAGCCTGGCCGAAACGTCTAATGACCACCCACAACTTCATGGCACGAAACCTCCGGCTCAGTGCGATCTGCCAATCTTTGTAGTCGATCACATTGCCGGCTTCAGTTGCGGTGTTCTGCAATATCTCTGGCTTGGTTGACAACGAGTCTATCAATTTCGTCGTGCACCTTACCTGAGTGCGAGAATATTGCTTTATTAGTAAAAATTTAAAGATTGTTAGAAATTTAAGTTAACTAGAAGATTATTTGGAATTGACAATTAGTGACGTTGAATTGATAATGACCCAAATATTTTCTTACAACTTTTTTTTTTTTTTTTTGAAAAATAAGTCATTGAATCTATGTAAATAATCATGAGTTTATTTAACTACTAAATGCTATTAGTAAAAACTCACCCAAAGGCAGCAGCAGTCCATATTCGCAAGCAGCCACTTGTGTGGATTCATACTAAACGAATTCGCCGTCTCCAATCCATCAAAGTACCTCCTGAACTCCGGGCAAATAGCAGCGCTGCCGGCGCACGCTGCGTCCACGTGGAACCACACGCCGAACTCCCTCGCCACTTCCCCGATCTCTCTTAATGGGTCTACCGCCCCCACCGCCGTCGTCCCCACCGTTCCACACAAATACAATGGCACCATCCCCGCCACTACATCAGCATTCATCGCCGCCCTCACGCTCTCCGCCGTCAACGCATACCCTGTCTCCGCCGACGTCGATCGATATCACCCGAAAGTTTCTTGCCGGAATTCCAACCAGCTTCGCCGCCTTCTGAAATGTAAAATGCGTTTGATCAGATGCATATACCGTCAGCTTTGTGATCCCTTCGCCATTGCTCTGACTTAGAGCATTATCTCTTGCCGCGGCAAGCGTGCAAACCACGGCTTCGCACGTGCTTCCGTGGATGACGCCGCCGCCGAGTCCGCCAGAAAGAAAAGTTGGTGGGAGTTTGAGCATATTGGCCATCCAGTCCATAACGATGGTTTCAAGCTCGGTGGCGGCAGGGTAAGCGATCCAGCTGAATCCGACGACGTTGAGGCCGGAACAGAGCATCTCTCCGGCGAAGCCGGCAGAGCTAGCGTTGGCTTGGTAATAGGCATAAAAATTGGGGCTTTGCCAGTGGGTGAGGCCGGGAAAGATGTCTGTTTTGATGTCGTGGAGAATGGTGGTGATGGGTGAGGGGAAGAGGGGAGGGGTGTCGGGAATGAGGTTGCGGAGATAGCCCGGCTTTACTTGGCTGCGAACTGGGAAACTTTCTATGTCGCGGTAGTAGTCGGCGATGAAGTCGACGACCAATTTGGATTCTTTGGAGAAGAGGTTTAGGTCTAGTGGCTGGAATGGTTCGGTGGGGAGGCTTCCCATTGCGTCTTGAGTTTGGAGGAAGTAGAAACTAGAAAGGGGCTTGCTTGTGTTTTTGTTTTCTGCGTTGCTGCTATGCATGTACTGGTATACATATAAAAATTTCTCCAATTTTTTTAAAATTTTGAGAAAGCTGATAATCATTTTGTTCAGGCGCCGAACGACATCAGGAGATCAACTAGAATGCGTCATGTCATTTATGTGCTTGGTACCGCTCGGTACCGCGGTTCAGTACCGCTAACGTGACGCATTCTGGTTGGTCTCTAAACGACATTCTACATTCAGTCTCCGCACAAAATAATTTCTCTATGGCAAGAAGCATGATGAGGTAGATAAGAGGCATCCAACTTTCAACGTACACACATTGAAAGCAATATAGGGAGGCAAGTCCATTAATGCATGGCTTCTTGGACGTATACTGCTATCATATGTGGTGGTGGACAAATCATGCTGCTAACATGAAGACGACGTACGGCATGCAGCCGACGTAATATTGCAAGGATCGAGGTGTTATGCGCAAGTCCTATGCAATCCTTACCACAAATGCGTCGCACACAAAGAACGTGTGATGGTAGAAGAGAATTTTGATTCATTCAATTAAGAGAATAAATGCAACTAGCTTTGCATGAGAGCTCTGTATTGGGTACCAATATTCACACCCACTAATAGGTATAGATACTCCCATGATCTCATGGATATTCAAAATCATGTGATAAATCAATTTACATTGCTAATCGTCATATATCTTATTATATTACTGCAATCCTCACTACGTAGTGTGTAACAATTAACCACATTGTGACTACAGTAAATTCTGATATACAGCTTGAAAGTTTGCAATCAGAGCAAAGGGAACCAAGCCTCAAGGCCATCAGTCCATGACAGATTGCGTTCAAAAAGCATGGAAAGTGGGTGGGTACAGGCGGGTACGACATCCCGAAAGTCACCATGGGTGGGTATGGCTAGGCTAAGCCTGTCCGAGTAAAGCATGGGTACCCAACCACGACCCCATGTAGGGCTTTGCTTTGCATATCCTCATAACATATTATTTCATTTAAAATGATTGTAAAAACCACAGATGAATTATTTGATTAAATTAGATCTCAAATATATATTTTTTGTAAATAAGTGCTATATAAATTTTAATTAATTTTTCATATATTACACTCAATATGAAATATATTTAATATTTTTGACACTATACTCATAATCAATATCTAATCATCAAATTTAATTTGCTTTATTTTCTTGAAAATTTAATAGAGATTTTTTTGGCTCATATGCCTTTCAATATTATTATGAAATTTTGTCTGAAAGTTATGACTAACAGGCTTAAAACTATTATTCTACAGCAACAATGTTATGACATATATATGATTTAATAGTTACCTTCCTTATCTCATAACATTAATAATTCATATGCATCAACTGAAGTTCAATTAAAGTATTTATCATCAATGGTAAAATAATACTACAGGAGACGAATTTTTCGGCGTAACTTAAAATTTTCGGAAACTGTGTATGAAACACATACTAGCAGAGCCCTGCATTGAGTACCCATACCCATACCCACCCATGTATCCACCCATACCCATTGGGTATGGGTACGCCCATGGCCTTGTGGGTGGGTATGGGTGGGTACTAAACATTGAGGAATAAATCGATTTACATTGCTATTCATTGTATATCTTATTTATACTATTGCAATCATCACTAAGTATTGTGTAGCACTTAACCATGCTACGAGTACGATAAATTTTGGTATGCGACTTGAAAGTTTGTCATCATAGCAAATGACAACAAGTCTCAAGGCTATCAGTCCGTGTCAGACTGCGTTCAAAAAACATGGAATGGGTGGGTATAGGTGGGTACCAAATCCTGAAAGTCACCATGGGTGGGCGAAGCCCGTCTGAGTAAAACATGGGTATCCAACCAGGACCTCATGTAGGGCTTTGCATACTAGCGGATTTTTTCTAGTGGATTTACGTTGTGCTTCTACCAGCGGCTGGAGTGGCGGTCTATGCAGAATTGTCGCAAGATTTTACTAACGATTTGCCCGTCGATACTGTCTGATGGTTTAACCACCGATAAATCGCCAGAGACTTCCAACAATATTTCTGATGGCATGACATCCGATAAACCGCCGGTAATTACTGACGGTCTACCCATTAAATCTGGCGGCCTACGATATCGTCTGATATTGACGGTTCTGGCTAATTATTTAAATTTAAATCAATTTGGTTAAAATATGCTAATTATAATTTTTATATTAATAAGATGTAACTTTTTATATATTTATTGCTCGTTATAAAATATTTTTTAAATTATTTTTTATTTAAATTAGATTTGAAAATTTTAACTTAGATATTAAAAAAAATTAAAACCCTAATGTCAATTTTAAGCTCAAAAGAAAAAGCTTAACGATATTTTTCATATTAGTGATTTGTGCTCCCGCAAATAAGTAATCCTCGCTCAATATAAACAACCTTCAAAATATAAAATTCAACAAAAGAAAGAGTTCACATTAATGTTCTCAAATAAAAATTTATTATGCAAACTCCAACAACAACTTCAATATTATCTAATCATCTTTCGGGTTTTCGCTGTCATGTGATTAATGCACAGGCTCATACTCTTTTTTTTTAGCTTGACATGATTGTAGCTCTACATGCATCTCAGCTAGAATATGTGTCATCTCCTCTATACCTCTTGTCATAGCAGCAACCCT